CTGATCAAGTTTGGGTATGTGAGGTGTTTTATAACCAGATCCTTGCATCAATGTATCAATTTTTTCATCGGCTTTGCGTTTTAGATTTCTTCCTGCTTCGTGAATTCGATCTTGAAACGCTTCCTTGATAGGCTTATCCTCGATTATATCGCCTAGTACATTCGTACCGGTTCGTAAAGCTTCTTTCCCAACTGCACGCATTCCGGATTTAAACAATGGTAAAATACTACGAAACACTCCACCTAACCAGCTCCCTATCCCATGACCTCTTTGATACGGTGACCCCCTATAAATCGTACCAATGCCAGTACCGGCTTGATTTACGTAGTACTGTTGGTATGGACACCCCATTTCTTAAAATGTAGCTTCAAGCTCAATGTTCCAAACTCGAATGGCATTGATTGTCCAGTATCAGTCCTTATGTTTATTTCAATATTTTCAAATTCTTTTATCATCACAGGTATATAGTGCGTTGGGGAGAACACAACATCCTTATGACAGCCGTAATTGTAATTTTCAGCAGTTATATTAACTATTCGCATTAGTGGAGATACAACGTTCCCCACGATTTGCGGTTCTACAATATCGCAATAGATGAACATTTGTGAGGGCAATCCGATCCAAATGCTGGCGGGATAGGGGTGTAAAAAATTTGGAAAAATTAAACGAAAAATACAATTTAAATATTGAAGAGTTGTCAATGTGTTATAGTGCCATAAATCAATTGAGTGCGTCCTTTTTTGAAAACTTTGTCTTCAAATGTCAATCTTTTTGGTGTAGCATAGATACAATGCTAGAACGTGCCGTCGTTCCCGTACCAAATGACACGTTGTACAATTTGTGTGCTAAAAAAATGCTGCGGAGACCTTCTGAATGGATTAATTTACCAATCGATATCCAAACGGAATTGTCGTGGAAAAAGAAGAAGCTAGATGATCTCGGTAGAGACCTACTACATCTTGAAAAAGAAACGGACGCAGAGTTAGTTAAACGAGTGAGAGACATAAATAGTTATTTAATTTCCAGTCAAGAACTTGTAGATACTCTAATAGGTAGTTTAAATAAAATTAAGGATGATATAGATATTGAGTTGTTTAATAATAGTTATTTTGTAGATGTTAGTTTTAATTACTTAAACTTATACGAAAGGATTTGTATAAATATTGTTAGTATGTCTGATTGTTATAGACAGTATTATGGTAGATATAGGGACTTAATTTACAATTGGTCATGTATATATAATAAACAGATTTAACGAGGGGTATAAACAATCTTTTATTGTTCAAGTTTAATTTTATGTCGATAAAAAAAAGGGTAATTAAAATCTCTGTCTTTACTTTGAATTTTCTGATTGTATCGATTTACAAAACATCCAAAAACTCGTAACAAAAATTTGCAAGTTCTGAGGAAATGGTACAGGATCATTACCCACTACTTGGCTATAAGAAAAAAACTAAGAAAATTGAACAAGTTAATTAAATAAAATTAAATTCGATTTTTTTTTACAATCTCTATCTTGAAACATATACCACACACGTGCTATCTTCCATAAATACATATAAAAGTTCAATATCAGAAAACAGCAATCGCTTTTAAAATTGAATAATAATTTGAACTTTTTTTGTACCTCATCTCCTCATTTTTATATAATTCAAACTACTCTACTTTTCTGAAAAAAGACCATCACATAACTTCAAATCAAAACTTTTGTGTTTTAATTTTATTTCATCAACAATTTTGAATATTCGAAAAAGTTGAAAAAAATTACAACTACACAACGATTTTCGCGCGTATCGTACAAAACTTTGGTAAGTAGATAAACTTGATACCCAGTTTTTCACAAACATTCAAGACTACTACGTTTCGGTTTACAATCAGAATATCGCTCCGGGCATATAGCCCCGAGCAAAATATCCGATTAATATGCTTGTAGGACGTGGCTGAAGTGCATCTTGAAGAGAAGCCTATTACGTACTCGTTTTATTACAATACTCGTTCGCAATACCGTGAATTTTTGTGATTGTCTCGATTTACAAAACTCGTAACAAAAATTTGCAAGTTCTGCGGAAATGGTACAGGATCATTACCCACTACTTGGCTACAAGAAAAAACTAAGAAGATTGAACAAATTAATTAAATAAAATTAAACTGGATTTTTTTTTGCAAGTTCTATCTTGAAACATATACCACGCACGTGCTATCTTCCATAAATACATATAAAAGTTTCATATCAGAAAACAGCAATCGCTTTTAAAATTTAATAAAAATTTGAACTTAGCGAAAATTAACATTTTGTTCCTCATCTCCTCATTTTTATATAATTCAAACTACTTGACTTTTATGAAAACAGACCATCACATAACTTCTAATCAAAATTTTTGTGTTTTAATTTTATTCCATCAACAATTTCTTTGAATATTCGAAAAAGTTGAAAAAATTTCAACTACAAAACGAATTTCGGTCAAAAAAGGACGCACTCAATTGATTTATGGCACTATAACAGATTGACAACTCTTCAATATTTAAATTGTATTTTAATTTGTTTTTCCAACTACACCTTCTTAATTGCATTTTTTCAATTCCTTTCTTATTTCGCTTAGTAAGCGACAGTAGTTGAGAAATTAACATCGATTATTACCAACTAGATTGATACAGCTTCTTAGTAGTGACCTCGTGCAGCCCCCGTTGAGTGTGGATATCTTAAATGCATTTGATAAGTAAGTTGGTTTAAAGCATAGCGGTCGACTACGTGACCACGACCCTGGAAAAACTCGAGGTCAAAGTCCAAGACCACGACCTTGGAAAAACTCGAGGTCAAAGTCCAAGACCATGACCTTGGGGAGGTCAAAGTCCAAGACCATGACCTTGGGAAAAACCCAATGCTACGACAAGTTCATAGTCCAAGGCCATGACTTGAGGAAACCCATTGCAATGGCCTCGGGAAATACCCAAATAAGAAATGTACGCTCTAATTTCAGTTAGTATTTGACTACCGACTCATTAACATCACCTAACGTATTGTTACAAGTTTTATTAGCCTCGCATAATCTACTGCAGTTTACGTAATTATACAGTGCTAATCTGTGCATCTCTCTTTCTTATATGTTAGGGTATGTATGTGTGTGTGTGTGGATAAACTTGGAAAAACAAGGATTTTCAAACAAAAACTAAGAAAAAGTAAGTACACAAATATTTTCTTGTTTTGCTTGCTTCTCGCTTTGCTTTTTCCTCTTCTTCTTCTTTGTAAAATTTGAAATGTATGGATTACCATTTTCTAAGAGTATGTACTTAGATTAGGTTTGTAATACAACATCTCTTATTTTTCTCTACACCTCTCTCTTTTAAATTCGCTAGGAAAATCCCAGAGCACAATTTTAGTCCAACTCAAATCCCAGAATCCAAATCACACAATCTCAACTCAGCATCCAAGACCACGACCTTGATCCAGAATCCATAATCACAACCCTGCCCCAGGATCCAAGACCATGATCCTGTACCAAAGTCACGATCTTGGGAAAAACCCCAAGACCACGACCTTGGGAAAACCCAAAGCCACGACATTGGGAAAAACCCAAAACCACGACCTTGGGAAAACCCAAAGCCATGACCTTGGGAAAACCCAAAGCCACGACCTTGGGAAAACCCCAAAGCCACGACCTTGGGAAGAACCCAAGGCCACGACCTTGGGGAAAACCCAAGGTCACGACCTTGGGGGAAACCCAAGGTCACGACCTTGGGGAAAACCCAAGGTCACGACCTTGGGGAAAACCCAAGGTCAGGGAAAACCCAAGGCCACGACCTTGGGAAAAACCCAAGGTCAGCTGACGTCACAAAATCCAAGATGGCGGAAGGTGTCCCCCTTCTACTCGCGTTTCTCAGCGTTTTTGAAAATCAGCCATCGTATATGAGTACAAATTTTCCACCTAAACGAAAATGATGAGTAACGGGCAAATATAGACCATATCATCTATAAATGAGCGAAAACCTGAAGTCTCTAGGGGGCCCAGGGACCGAGGTCTCAATGGAACAGACGACGGAAAATCCAGCACACAATAAGCGTTACCTCAACTTCGTTGTGTTACGATAAAAAAAGGTAGATGTATTTAATATGCTTAAATTTTATTTGTTTTCAGTGAGTATTTGTTGTTTGTGTAATGTATTTAACAAAAGTTTTTGCATAATTACACGTGTCTGTAATTGGGAAAAAAACATAACAATCCGGCTGCTCAAAATAAGTAATTAAAAAAGTGCGTTAAATGAGTATCGCGCGATCTAAGTATCCCGTTGCAGTGGTTCATCTCCAGTTGTAACGTCACTCAAGCGATGTCACGGCTAGTGCATAAAGACGGCGAGGAAAAAGAGCCCATGTAACGCAGAAGTGTAAGATTATACCACGGCATTAAACAAATGACCACGGTCCGTGGATTATACTCTCAGACATTGATTTATACACATCTACCTATAATAATCAATGGCCGGTATGAATAAAAATAAGCAAATGCTTATACTTGCAAAATTCAAAGTAAAGACTCGTAAGTGTCCCTTTATACTGGTTTGTTTAGCAGCGCTGCACTGCGTCCTGTCCTGGTCCTGTCTTTCTGCTTAGCAGCGCTGCTAAGTCGCCCAGTGCGAAGGAGCACTTACGAGTATTTACTTTGAATTTTGCAAGTATAAGCATTTGCTTACTTTTATTCATACGGGCCAATGCCTCAGATTAACAGTCATCAGCATTAAGGTCATCAGTCGGTGGCACATGGAGCAAACCTATAAAGACCTAGGGTACCAGAGCTACACGGGCCTTATAATATATTATCGGGCGATCAAAAATGAGTGACTTTCGAGTCGCCTTTGGAAGTTCGAGTTAAGTACGATTTCCCATGTAAACAAAAATTCCAAAGGTGACTCAACGGTCACTCATTTTTGATCGCTATGTATATTAATTCGTAGGAAATATATTGGACACTATGTTTGTATTTATTTATTTGGGCCGATCCCGGAGGTACTGCAAGACCGGGCCAACCCGCGACGGAGGTGGAGCAAGCCCCTAACCTCCGCCAATTTCCAAAAATCAGTTTAATATACTGGACCCGCATGCGGGTCGTATCAGATATTAAGCTGATAAGAACAGATACTACACTTTGATCTTAGCCATAGGCCGAGAAGCGATAACGTATTTTCTGTAATGTCCCCGCTTTATCGTGCCGCAGAAGTAATGCAACTAACAGTGTTACGAGCAGCGCCCTCTCCCACACCAATGTCGTTAGTACAATCGTATTTTACAGTTAACGGTATAAATAAGGTGGTTTATTAATTTATTTATGTTTGAAGTTTGAACCAATTACCAAACCGTGAAGGATTAGGACCAAACTGAGCTTTTCGGTGTTATAATCAAAATAAGCAAATACGACCATAGTAATTGATCACCGCAACCCCCACTGATGTAAGTTCTTTGGAGAAAAAATGCAAAAACAACAACGATTGCTACGAGAAATTGCTAAAATAGCGCAATCTCCGCCTAAAGGTATTTCTTTAACTTCCAAAGACGATAAATTGAACGTGTTTGAAGGAAGTATCATAGGCCCAGAAAACACTCCTTATTACAAGGGAACCTTCAACTTAGAAATATTAATTCCAGAAAATTATCCATTTTCTCCACCATCCATCAAGTTCTTAACGAAGGTTTATCATCCTAACATCGACGACAGTGGAAGAATATGCCTAGATTTAATTAAAATGCCCCCAAAGGGTAATTGGAAACCGACGATTGGATTGGAAGGCCTCCTGATTGCGATAAAAATGCTTTTGGAAAATCCCAATCCGGATGATCCTTTAATGATGGAAATCGCTGAAGAATTTAAAAACAACAAATCGGAGTTTGAACGAAAAGCAAGAACGTGCACGGAAGACTACGCTATTCAATAATATTCCATTTTTAATATTTATTATACTCGTACTGTTTAATGTATGTCGATATAAATTTGATAGATTTGTGCCATTAATTTGCAGTTACTTATTTAAGAAACTACGTACAACACTCCATTCAAATTATAATGCTCGCCAGGAGAGTGCATGTCACAGAACATCTGATTTCTGTCTACAATCGTATGTGTTTCATATTAAAGCCTAGGATGTAGACCGGCATTATCGCCTGGCGAGCATAATATAAGATTTGTCTATTTTGTACATGATTATATCTATCACAAGCCAAAACGAAATTATTAGTCTAGAGAATCTGGTTTATTTATATTAGAAGCACTACTTTCATCTACAACATTTGTATCACATTCGTCATTTCTTTCATCATCTTCTTCACATTCTTCGGCCAAGCTACTCCTTTGCGCTTCTGCTAAAGCTTCCGGATACTGCACAGCCAATTTAAGTTTAATGGCCCGTATCTTTTTAAAAATATAATCTAAATCTTTCTTCATATCCTGCAGTAATTGCGTATGTTTTTTAAATTCAGGACCTACTGCTTTTAGTCTAGAAGCACTAAGAGCGTTGCAGTTGGTAAGCATTTCATTTGTTTTTTCGAAGCGTTGTAACCTTAAAAAAAAATTTAACTTCTTATGATTTCAACTGAAACTACTTACATTTGCTTTTGTGCTCTGATCATTGTTTCAACATCTTGTTGATTAACTATTCCTGCCAATCCTTGGATAAATACTTCGGGTGCTGTGTAATTTTGAAAGCATTCGATGCTGTAGTCGCTTTCGGGTGTACCTTTACTTTCATCCATCTCAAATACCATGTCCCTTATTTGAAATGCAATTTTTCTTGTGATAGTAGTACCTACCAAAAATTATTCAATAATCAATTAAAAAAAAGTAAACAAATCCCCACTTTCACGACTTGCATGCTTGCATCTCTGTTCCACCGTGACTCCCTCCCCATGGTCGCCTCGACACTGCTCAACCAAAAGCGCGCTAGACTTTGAATTTGCATTGAACTGTCACCCTGTCACTACTAAGTGTAAAGCCGGCTACAGACACCATACTTTTCTTGAGGTATGTACGATATGTATAATCATTGTATTTATAAATTCGTTATAAATACAATGGTACAATGTAGGCGCGTACATATCCTTCGGTGTATAGACAGTATCTCCCTAAAATATCTCTCGAAGGACGAAGATGTATTCAGTTAATGCTTGACATATTTCTAGGAATGTACGTGGTGTCTGTGGGGTAAATCTCCGAGTAAGAATCTTACTCTGGGGGGTAAATAATCAACATAACGTGCAAACGTTATAATTGATTGATGATAATTTAGCTTACCTGCTTTTGCTTACCTATTGTAAGTAGGTATGGTAACCGGCAGGTATATGTATGTTAATGCCATATTATGTTATCAAGATGAATTTTGTTGTTATCTACATTTCGAATAGGTACATGGCTATGAATTCTTCTAAGAATTCCTAGAAACTGCTTCGGTAAGTACTGCAACAAAGTTAATTAGAAAGAGTTTAATGAAATCTACTTAAACCCGCCCTACATTATCAGTTCTAGCATAAACCCGCCCTACATTATCAGTTCTAGCATTGAATTATTATTCAATGGTTCTAGCAAGCACCACAACTGTCAAGTGAACTGCCATGCCTTAGGTAACTGAAAGTAACTTTCACCCTACACACGCGCCAAGTCATTTCTTCTTGGTAATGTACAATTTTTGAATTTTCGGTGGGAAGTTTTAGTCGCAATCGAAAATGTCACGGAAATGTGTTGCTGTCTACCAGGGCGGGCGAACGCAAAATGACTCGCAGTTTGGTGAGGTGACGCAGCGTGAGTCACGGTGAGATTTTGAGGGGGTTTAACTGCTACGATCGCAGTTTGCTTCTTGCAATAACGGTTGATTGCAGGCCCACAATGGAAATAGCTACGGCACTTACGTTTGACAGTTCTGAATCTGATTCGGAAGATGAGCTCGTATCCGAATTGGTATTGTTTATCTCCCAAATGACCAAAAGAAAGGCAGCAAGAGGTCTGTACTTAAAAAGAAGAAAAAGTCACGGAGAATTTGCTATGACCAAAGAATTTAACGACGAACAATTTAAAAATTATCTTCGGCTAAACCGGGACCAGTTTATCGAAGTGCATGAGATCATCAAAAAAGAAATTGACGCAGAAGGATGTAACGCTACAAGGCCCATCGGGACGGAAGAGAAACTAAGTGTATTTCTAAGGTAACTTTATTTTATTAAATTTTTTTATCAGATTATTTATCTGGAAAAGAAGTGATCAAATTAATCAGCTCGTCTCGACTGCTACTTGTGGAGTAATCGTTTTTCTCCGGATAGATTTCAGGGGTGCTTAAGAGTGACTGTTCCGAATGGAAACTAGTTGATGATGCTCTGCTGCTGGATGGAGTGGCTGCAGGAGGAGAATGTAAATTCTGGTAGTAGAGCTGCTGCTGATCAGGGCTGGGCTGCTGGTAGACAGCAGAACCAATACCCATTAACATTGCCTCCGCTTGTGAAACTTCGTTGAACAAACGATTTTTAACCATGTGTTGATATGAGGGTGGCATTTTTTTAGTAGATTGGTACATCGCCAAAAAAAAGTGAAATAGTGGATCATTTTGTGTAAGATTTAATTGCTGTACCAAATTTTTTCTCCCTTCCGTTCTTGCTTTAGCTCTTTCCTCACGTTTCTCAATACTTTCTTTAAAAAGTGTAGTAACATTATCTTTCTTCATTTTTTTAATTGAATTGGGGGTTGCAATTAACGTCCGCTTTGTAGATAACATTGAAGGAGCAGTTTGTGAAAGTGTCTGAGGTTGGGATTCATCCTCCATATTTTCGGGTTGGTCCTGTATGTTCATTTGTTGTGAATTTTCATTATATACCTCTGCAACATCTACATTGGATTCAAAATCTTGTGATAGGTTTTCAGTTTCATCGTCTTGTCGGAGGTTTCCTTCTCTTGATTTATTGACCATATAAGGCTGCAGAAATCCCATCTGTTTTTGAAATTTCCATTCTTTGATAGTTTCTGCAGCTGCTCCACTTTTGAAACATTTTTGTTGCCTTCGAATCGCATCTCTCAATGAATGTCGTAGTTTTTCCCACAACGCCTTTGCTTCAGATCCTACAACAATGAATTAATTACATCTTTATAAACTCTGGGAAAAGTTTAAAAATGAACAAACTTTTTAATTTTTTTAACACATTATTACTTTTCAGATACTTGGCAACAGGAAACAGCTACAGAAGTATGGCGTACAGCTACAGAATGGGTGATCGAACAGTTTCTAACATTGTGCGAGAGGTATTTGGAAGCTGATGCAACCAATATATTTGCCACAACCAACTGAAGAACAGTGGAAGTCAGTTGCAGATTCCTTTCAGAGAAAATGGCAATTCCCACATTGCATTGGAGCCATTGACGGTAAACATGTGGTCATTAAAAAGCCCGGTAAAAGTGGATCCTCTTATATTAATTATAAACATACTTTTTCTATTGTGCTAATGGCTGTCGTCGACTCCGATTATAAATTCATCACCATTGATGTAGGGTCACAAGGAAGATTTAGTGACGGAAATGTTTTCAGTACAGGCGTTTTGGCAAAGAAATTGCTGGATCATACTCTACATCTTCCGGCACCTACTGTACTGCCTCCACTTCTGAACCCAATGCCATATGTGTTTGTAGGAGATGAGGCCTTCCCATTATCTGAGAATTTAATGCGACCTTATCCCAAACGAAGTGTCACTGATAATTTTGAAAACAAGGTCTTTAATTACCGACTATTGCGAGCACGCCAAACGGTTGAATGCGCTTTTGGTATACTTGCCTCGCGTTTTCGAGTTTTCCGAACACCTTTTGAAATTAAAGTAGAAAGCGTGATTAATGTTGTTAAGACAGCATGTGTATTGCACAATTATTTAAGGAAATATTCAGTACGTCAAAGTGAAGAGGAAGACAACGAAGATATGCCGCAAGATCAGCTGCTCTCCTTGAAATCGAGCAATGCTCGAAGTACACAGAAAGCTTTTCAGATTCGAGAAAATTATACAAATTATTTCAACTCCGCAGGAGTGGTACCTTGGCAGAGGGAATGTGTTGCTAGAGGGAAATATTGAGATATGTACACTTTATAATAAATAAACTTACCACTTTTCATTCCGATTTCTTTAGCGATTTCCTCCCACTTTTCAGTTTTTAGTTTTGTCCTCATATAGTCTGCATGACTGGTATCGTACAAAACTTGCCGAATCCGCACGGCTTCAATTAATTTTTCTTCAATTTTTCACCACTACTCACCGTGAATAACTACAAGAAACTGCGGGATCGACACTGCGTTCCGCAGGATCACGTTAGGCAAAGATTGCGTCACGTCACACTGCTGACCTGTATTCGCGGTGGAATTTATTTATTAGGTTCACAAAATCTCACCGTGACTCACGCTGCGTCACCTCACCAAACTGCGAGTCATTTTGCGGCTTGAGACGCAGTTACGTGAAGTGACGCAGGACGCAGGGTGACTCACTACAGATTTCTGCAACCAAAGGACGCCTATATATCAGCGAATGTTCGGACGCAGCGTGACGTGGCGCAGTTTTGGTACGCCGTGAGTCTGCGATAGTCTGCGGTCTAATCACAAAACAGCAGTGACTTTTCCATTCTTCGTTTGTGTGTGTCCACAAAAAGGAAGATGGAGGAGAAGCTAATTGAAGCAGTTCGGTGTAGAAAGGTCTTGTATGACACAAGTGACGTTAATTACATGAAGAGTAAATTGAAACAGCAATTATGGGAGGAAATTGCGATGGAGATTGTTCTTTTTCGAAGTAACGACTTGTTGGCAATTTTTTCTTCAATAGAGTTGCATACTCTTTCTTCCTCAGCAAAATCAGAATCAGATTCCGAGTCTAACAAATTACACAATGTATACATCATAGAATTGCGTGACCAGACACTGCGTGTACTGCGTTTCATTGTTCGCACGTACACGCGCAGGCAGTTCACTTCGCCCATGCGCGTCACTTCACCCTGCGTCACCACACGTCACACTGCGTCTCAACGTTCGCCCTGCCTCGATCGAACATCACGACAAACACGTATGTGCGTGTTAGGGAGCGAACTCATAATTCGACACCGGAGAATTAGAAGTGAGCCAAGAATAACGAGCGGCAGTTTCCGCCCATTTAGGGAAAAGGACTCCCTAACCACCTTACTTTATATATTCGTATGTTTTCTAGGCTTAAGTTTAGTTCAGTAAGCGCAGTTGTAAATACAGTCCACTTAGTGTAAGAATTAGTGTAAGGTGCTAGAATAAAGGAAACCGTGAAAGCACTTGTTCTTAATAAGTAACTTATAATTACTTATAACTCTCGCCAGGAAAGATTGCCGGTCACAGCACACCTTGTGTCAATTTACAATCTATGTTTTTTTTAAGATGCGAACGATTTCCGGAATAGGATCGTGCCAATGTTGAACGAAAAGTCTTTTTGTTCAACATGGGCACGATCCTATCCCGGAAGTCGCTCACATCTTTAGAAAAACACAGATTGTAGACCGGGATCAGGTCTTCTGTGACCGGCAATCTTTCCTGGCGAGAGGTTTAGTCAATGGTATAAATCCAACAAATGCTTGCACGTTGGCGCGTTAAAGCAAATTCAAATTCAAGCGCTTGCAGTTGCGCGTTGCTGAGGGAGTCACGGTGCAACAGAGATGCAAGTCATTTTCAATCATTATACCACAGCAGTAAGTAAGCTGTGTATACCAAAGAGTAATTATAGTTACTCTTTGATTATACTATGCGATCAAAAATGAGTTGCTGTCGAGTCACCTTTGAAATTTTTGTTTACATGGGAAATCGTACTTGACTTGAACTTCCAAAGGCGACTCGACAGCAACTCATTTTTGATCGCCCGTTATATGCTTTCAATAAGCTTTCACGTACCATCCTCCTAATCTTAGAGAAGGAAAGAGTGTCTAAGCTCCTAATCATTATTTCCCATATGTTAAGCGATTTTCCAATGTCTAAAAAGATAACGGGCGATCAAAAATGAGTTGCTGTCGAGTCGCCTTTGGAAGTTCAAGTTAAGTACGATTTACCATGTAAACAAAAATTCCAAAGGTGACTAGACAGCAGCTCAATATAAGGTGAATAGTGTGCTGAGAAAAGAGAAGTGAAAATCGCGCGTGGGTGTAGGAATAATGTAAAAATTACAGAGACGATTTTACGTTTAATCTTTGATTGAGTTATATTTATTTAAGTGCGTTTTATGTTAAATCATTAAACATTTACAATAACAAGCTACGCCCCTAAAAGCCCCAAAATTCTTCGCCAAAGGTTCCGCTGGAACTCACGACGTTAGGTACTTAGGTTTTCGGGGAGAGGGGCTCTACTATTACAGCAATTAACCGTTTCTTCAATGAAATAGAGTTTGAGATCAAAATCTTTTGTCAAAAATGATCTCTAAATCTTCGTGTTTGAATTTCGGCCCAAGAATCAAAATTCAAGAAGCGTACTTAAATAGGATTTAAAGTGAGGAGTTAAAAAAAAGGTATTTTGCTATAACTTTTTTCGTAAGTGAAAAGAAAATATACCTTCCCTCGTGCAAGCCTTGACAGCGACACCGTAACGAACCAAATAGCGACAAAAGTAGGACCTATACCTCCTTACGATAAAGATTTGATAGTGACACTGCCATAGGGCGGACAAAGTGGCCACGACAATACCCCAATTTTATTTTTGTGCAAATGCGCTAAAAAGAGTTCATTGCAATTAGTAAACTATGCGCAAAAATCTTCAACTAGATTTTAAATGTAACTATAGATACAATCATTTAAATGCACCAAGTGCCAAAATGACTAATAACGAATATCCACAAATAAACGATTTGGATGAATTATTTGGGTTTAGTGCTGCAAGAAAAAGGGCAGCCGAGGCATTAGAAGATATTTACATTTATGATGAACCAAGTTTCATACCTCACAGGATTTTCCTTAATTTGGTTGACGGATTTAACGCCAAATATTTATCATCGGTAAGTTTACGGAGGTATTTTCTCTTGGTCAATAAAAAGGTTGTAACTCCAGTATTTAACTGATCAAATTTATGGCGTTAAACAACAAACTGAAGGTGAAGAGGGCGAAGGTGAAGGCGAACAAGAAGGAACCGAAATTGAAGACACCGAAGCTACACCCTTACCTGCCCATCGAACAAAGTACGAAATGATAGGGTCGTTATATAAGCAATTCCATAAAAAGACGGAAGATATTTTGTTCACTGTAAATGAAACTGACGAAAACTTTTTGGAGAACATCATGAAGTGCGGTTTCGTAATATATGATATCACGCAAAATCCTGATGAAATACCCAAAGCTCTAGATACATTGTCAAGTAAGTTACACACGCATTCGAAATGGGTTGCCAAAAAAATTAAGTCAAGTTAAAATCAACGATACAGACATGGAGAGAGCGCATGCGCATTCTCTTACATCGATGTGTGCACCATGATCAGCTGCTACGCTGCGTCGTTCTCTTTTTCACGGAACAGTACAGTTGTTGCAATTAGTGTGAGAGCAGCCTAAGTAGCGCGCGAGAGAGAAACATATGTGATGTTCCGTGTGAAAGAGAAGGACCCAGCATAACAGCTGATCGTGGAGGTACGCATCGCTGTAAGGTCTGTTTGCATATTAAGATTGCTGAAAAACTTCTTTCACTCGGTAAACAGTTGAGCGAAGGTTGACGTTATGTGGGATCTTTAGTTTTTAAGAATCACATTATCGCAACAAAGTCAGTTAGGCAGTTTGGATACAGTAGTAGGTATATATGTACTTTTTTACGGGCCATTAAAAAACTAAAGTTCAAGATTTCTCCGAATCAAATCGTTTTGAAAGTCTCTCCACGATGTCTTGTAGAGCTCAGAGTAGCAATGAGAAAGTGTTTTTTTAAAATTTTTTTGTAATAACATATCAGGAAAAAATAAACACGAAATCGGCAAATTTCGGTTTTTCTGGCATGTCTTCTATGATTTCGGAAATCCCCACATAGAGTAATAAAAGATTGCAAGAAACCTATTTTGGTTAATTATGAATCTGATGTAGCTGTACAGGTAATCAATTTTACAGAAATTGAGAATGAAATCGAAAACTTAAAAAAGTTGGGTCCGAAAACTTTCAAGAAAATCGCAGAGGTGAGAGTGTTCATGCTCATTTCGACCGTAATGACGTGGGCTTTGACGAAGCCAATTGATCCGGTAGCTACTCAATTTAAATTTAGTAAAACGGTTTCCCTTAGCACTGACCGATATTTTAGGAAGATCCGAGCTTACCTTTCACCGAAGCTGACTATAAAAAGAGGCGATCTCATCCAAACTACAAAAAGCACATTGAATGTGAAAGAGAAGTTGTTTCAAGGGGGAGGAAGGTAGAGATACTAATATGATTTAATCGTGATATATGACTAATGTATATCCATGCAGAATCCCGACAAGCTTAAAACTTACGTGATATGTTCCGGTATAATCTATGGCGCAGAAGAAGAAGATTTATCTTTCTTATTTAAGCTTGCATGGAATAACGAAAAGCATTTGCCCATTTTCAGGCCGGGAAAGAATACTATTCCGTTAATTCACATTCAAGACTTGGTCAAGTATTGTACGGATTTATTAGAACAATTATTATATCTTTTTAAATTTAAAGGGTTGTTCACGGCCTAATGGAAAATGCTCCTAGCAAACCCCAGTATATCCTAGCTGTAGAGCAAATGCCTTCAACCTTAAAACAGATTACTAAAGCCATTAGCAAAACCATTGGAAGTGGACGAACAAAGGAAGTATTTGCTGAAGAAGCGTTTTTATATAAAGAAATCACTGTAAGATTCCTCTGCGCGGGTAATGCACATATATATAATTTGACATAATACCTACAGCAAAGTCTATACGATCGATACACGATTAATTTAACAATGGAACCTGGATTTATTGTTGAAACATTACAAATTCAATGGGAGAATGAAATTAACATGGTTGAGAATATTGCTAATGTGGCAAACGAATTTAGAAATACGCGTGGATTGGTGCCCTTAAGAATAATCATCCATGGACCACCAGCGGTCGGTAAAACTAGAATTGCCATGCAACTGGCTGACTATTATGGTGTACACTATGTCAATGTTAAATCTGTGATTAATGAAACGATTCAAATTTGGGTGAGTATATAATTAGGTACGAAGATGATTTCTTCGCATTAACTAAACTACTTATATTTTGACAGGCCAAAAGGAACTAAGTTACCTATATATGTATAATTTTCTTTACCAGAAGGAAACTATAAGTGAAGAAGTGGAAAAAGTATCCGCTAAAGAAGAAAAACAAAAGCTTTTGGATGAGGGTGGCGGTGATGTAGAAGAGGAAGAAGAAGAAGGCGAAGATGAAGAGGCGATTGATATAGAGGAACTCTACGAAAAAATTAGAAACATTGAAACAGAACTTGAAGCCAGTGAAAATGGTAAACTATCGCAAGAGCATACTATACAATTGGTGCAAACGTTTCTTATGCAAAACAAGTTTAAAAATCAAGGTTACGTCATTGACGGTTATCCCAAAACTATAGATGAGGTTAATCAACGCACATTGTTTGATAATCTTGTATACTCATACATACTAGGCCAAAGCTTTATTTGGAGGGACAGATGAGGAAGGAGAAGGCGGGGATGAAGAAGAAGATGGTACGAAGCAAGATTCACGACCCAATTATGTTATTAGCTTGCAGGCCGACGACCAATTTCTCTGTGAACGTATCATGATTTTGCCAGAAAAAGAAATACAGGTAGGTTATATAATTTAAGTAATCAGTCTATTATTTCTATGATAATTTCAGGGTACTCATTACACGGAAGAAGGCATGTTAAGGCGATTGAAAGAGTATCGCGCTAACAACACAGAAGCTAACACTCTTCTAAATTTTTTTGACGAGTTAGAAATACATCCACTGGTTTTAGATGTAATGGATGACCACACAGAAAACATGGGGAGTATTATGAAGAGTGTAATAGATCACTTGGGCAAACCCATTGGATTTGCCCTTACTGTGGACCAAGAAGAGGAACTTATACGTATCGAGGAACAAAAGCGCGCAGAATTAGAAATGGAAGCGAAATATCAGAAGGAGGTAATATGTTTCAGTCATATACCTACAGGTTGTTCGGGGACAAACTTTGAACATGAAGGTACTATTTGGGGCTGTGTGCACCTAAAGATTAAAGCTGAATTTATACTTGCGTATCCGCAACACCGTACCGTAACGTTTGGAATTAAACCCTACTTGTTGCGCGTGAACATTTATAGTTCGCGTTAACGTTGCGTTAGAACTGTTACGGTACGTAGGAAATGCCCAAATCTTATTTCTTACGATAAATCGTGCTAACGCGCTTGTCTTCGATAGTACTCGGATAATTCAAACAGTTGAGTTTATCCTGACGTTCGTTTCGTTTATTTACAATAATTATTGACACTTTGTTGGTTATTATTATTTTGAAATGCACGTTACTCTTACTGACAGTGACATACAATGAATTCGTTACGCGCTAATGCGCAAGCTGGCACTTGCCACTACGGAACTATAAATCGTATTATTTTCGTTAACGTAATAAGATTTTACGGTTCGGTTCTTACGGCTACGGAACTATAAATCCGGCTTAAGTATACCTACGGTAACGATTATTGTAACAATAATTGTCATGAATCTTAGGCTATTATAGTAGTGTGGTGTCACACTATGCGTTTTTACCGCTCCCGCTAAAACGGATGCGGTTTGACAGGATGAGATCTACTTGTCACACTATTCCGGTTTAACGAGATGCGTTTTTGCATTTTGGCAGTCTAAGTAGTGTCATGTCTCAATTATTGTTAAAGATGGTTTGTGCGCTTGAGGCGGAGGGGCTATTGCGAAAGCAGATATATCGTCAATATTGGACTGATCCTTTTAATTCAGGAAGAGAATCTAATAATAGGTTCGCGAAGTTTTATGAAAAAATTCGAATGAACAAGAAAAATTTTTTTGTATATTACCGAATGTCCAAAAATTCAATTTCTACCCATGATTTCTCCCTACAGTTTTTATCTACATACTCTTTAGATTGTTTTTCCCACAGTGCAGTTTTTGCATGCACGCACTCGATGAATACACCGACATCAAACATTGTAAACCTAACAAAACACCCGGTTGCAACGCTCAGTGTGACAACTGATGACAACCAACGTACAACAACACGTGGTTTCATGTCATTGTGGTTGTCATGTCAACCTGCGCAGCGGCAGCAGGATGCGGTTGCATCCGGTTGGTGCGGCGAAAACGCATATATGTGACTGGTACCATTTAATAACGTGTGATATTATCATCCCGTCAAACAGGAGCGTTTTAGCGGGAGCGGTAAAAACGCATAGTGTGACACCACACTTATATCGATCGATTCAAAAAATTCAGTCATCAGTGTCATAAATAGTTTGCAATGGAAGTTTAAATGAACATACCATAAAGATAAAGGTAATTGATCAAACCAGTCCATTGAATGAAACAGAGAAGTCTAAGCTACAATTCACAACTCGACAATAAATTGACAGCCGTCCGTCTGACACGAGGTTTAACTCTTTTGGTCCGACGTGTATCGCCGCCGCCGCCCTGAATTTTTTTCTAATATACAGTGTGTCCCAGATCGAGTGGGATTGCACGGGTAACTTTCTTGGTATTAAAGATAGAGAATTCGTTAAATGGACTAATGTTTTGCAGTTTTAGATGCTTATTTAAAATTTCCTTGTGGAAATTCAAAATGTCGAGTAGGTTTGACGTAAATTCAAAAAAACTAAAATTGGTCATTTCCTTTAATGTCTTATATCATCGAAAGTATAAGAGATATAAAAAAAAGTTTTATATAAAAGTTATTGTCTTTGATACGCCTAATTTAGAATTGATGTAAAAAAAATTCAAGATTGCCACCTTTGAGGAACATTTACCAACGTCCTACAGTTAAATAGGCGACATATTGGATTTTTAGATTATTTGATAGATTTTTTAATTCTCTTTTCAACGAGCTATCATAGCATAAGATTGAAAATAAGATACCAGTTATATCAACGGTTTTATATCTTAATCAAATAGACAGTGATGAATAAAAAAAAACAAAACAAAATCTATTCGAGGCAACAAAACGATGAAAGTAATTACATCAGAATGTTTAAAATATCAGGGGCGTACTCATGGGAGTGGGGGGTTTGAGCGTTTCAACTCTCTCCAAAATTTTATATAAGTAGGCGTAGAAAAATGTTACCGATCTAGGACCTTAGACCATATAGTACATGGACTGCTATTAGCCCTATGGGCTATGCCTTCAATACAAAATGGGTGGTCACGGATAGAGAGCACTGTAGTCGTGGGTATGTGAATCTAAGGGTAAACTAAAGTCGTATGAACACCACTCGGATCGCGTAAAGAGTAGCTTTTATGGTAACCGTGTAGTACGGGAAGCTTTAAATACTCTTGATTATCTTCTATACGTCCACAAATAAGAACAGGTTTGCATTTTTTGCCATATCTAGGCGATTAATTAATTGACATTTGTTAATTTATAGGTTGACAGCCTCAAATCGTGTCTCATCGGACAATTTCGGACAGACTCGTTTACCCTGAAACTCACATACCAGGCGATGTCCTTGACCATATTTTAAGTTACAATTAGCAGTCCATGTACTATATGGTCTAAGTCTAGGACACTTAAGTCTTCCGTGGACGATGAAATATATACAGTGATTTTTTTAAAATGCGAACATAGGAGTTTGCATGCAATGTAATTTCCCTATGTTCGATTTAAAAAAAACACATCAATCTATTGAGTAGTTCAAATGAGTAGTAGATACAATTGACAGCTCACATTTTTAAAAATACCGCCGTCCAATTTAATTACGAAATCGGTTAGGTTATGGCTTAGAATGTCAAGGAGGACACTTCGAACATTTATTGTAATTGTTTTCGGTATTTATTTTCTTATTTTCTTCATTTATGTATTGAATAGATCAAATTAGTAGAATACCAGGTGCACATGACCTACAAATAATTGAAGGTTGGTTCACAATGAGTTGTGGTGTCAGTGCGTGGCCTGTGAGGTCAGTTATACCTATGTATCCTAAAGTTGCAATGGCCTAACATGGCTTCTTTAAAAAAATCTTACCGAGTGTTCTTCATCATAAAGACTAGAGTTGCTGTTCATAGTCACACAAGTTGCGTGTTTTGCTGGTGGGAATGTGAACCGCGCACACCTCATAGATTGATGTGTTTTTTTTAAAATCGAACATAGGGAAATTTAATTACATTGCATACAAAAGCCATAAATTCAATGCAAAAGCGTATGTTCGCATTAAAAAAAACTCAAATTATATTATACAGTGAGTTTTTTTTAAATGCGAACATACGCTTTTGCATTGAATTTATGGCTTTTGTATGCAATGTAATTAAATTTCCCTATATTCGATTTAAAAAAAAAAACGCATCAATCTATGAGGTGTGCGCGGTTCACATTCCCACCAGCAAAACACGCAACTTGTGTGACTATGAACAGCAACTCTATAGTCTTGGTGATGAAGAGCGCTCGGTAAGATTTTTTTAAAGAAGCCATGTGAGGTCATAGCAACTTTAGGATAAATTTTTCTTAACCTTAAGAGTCTTCTTTACCTAAGCGCAACTTTTTTACATTATGGTGTATAGATGATTATAGTTGCAAGAAACAAGATGATATTCTTGCTTAGTCAACTCCTATTTTGGTCCTTAGTTAGTTCCCGTCGACACTGTGCAGCGGCGCTACTTGTTACACTCAAATTGTTGATTTACCGCCCGCCAAGATACAGACTTTATTTCCAAAAAATATGATTTCAATTTTTGGGGTAATGTTTAGAAGTAACCTATCTAGAAAACTGTCGGTTTACTTTTTCCATAAACCGTTTTGTTCCAGAGTAAAAAAATAAAACAGATTAGCGCAATAATCGATGCAAAACATCTAACCTTTAAACAATCGGTATTCAGTTGCTATAAACTTTAAAAAAAAAATAGCCCGAACATTTTGTAGATAAAGATCTAAATTTAAAAAATAGTTCTTAAAAAAAATTTATTTTTGAAAAACAACTTGCGTTTTTATAGTGGGCGCTCTTATAGAAATTTACATTGGGTGCAGTGGGTACAGAAGACTCTTAAGATAACGTTTTGCGCGATCGGTCATTTCTGACTATTTACCATGGGTGTTTCCATGACAGTACGTAGAATTTACCAGTTGCTATGATTACGACGACGCCAAAATTACTTACCGATCTAAAAACAGAACAGCAAAAATACTTACCGACGCCTTTTTAAAAATCAACAGTCTTACATTACATTTAATCTTTAATTATTGTTAGGTACATTAAACGTACAATTTGTGCTGTTGTTTCCTATAGAAAAACGCTCATAAAGTCATAAAGGAAGTGCAAAGCTAGTAAACTACATCAGACACATGCACATTTTTATGAAATTATTAATTTCAATTTTGACAATTAAACTGGTTACCTAGTGATGTACAACCATACCACTTCGATCATTTCGATTTATTCTGCTCGTTAATTTCTTAGTGCATATTTATATTGGTTGCATAATTTTAATTTCGATCGCGCAAAAAATGTTATAAGCACGTCGAACGTTAAGGGTTACCGTTCTCAGACAATAATTGGAGTCGTCGCTTCGCTCCTCCTCCAAACAATTGTCTTCGAACGGTAAAAATCCCTTACCGTTCTCCATACTTAATATACTATAACGTCACATGGCAAGCGCTGACACCACAATTCATTGTGAACCAACCTTTAATTAATTGTAGGTCATGTGCACCAATTCTACTAATTTTATCTATTCAATTATTATACATAAATGAAGAAACTAAATAACGAAAACAACTACAATAAATGTTCGAAGTGTCCTCCTTGACATTCTAAGCTATCACTATCACCTAACCGATTTCGAAATTAAATTGGACGTCGGTATTTTTAAAAATGTGACAGTTGTCAATTGTATCTACTATATTCATTTGAACTACTCATTAGATGACGTTTTTTTAAAATCGAACATGGGGAAATTACATTGCATGCAAACTCCTATTCACTGAATACGTTCAAAAAGTACTATATATCGACCAAAAAATAATATTTTAGCGAAAATAAATATATTTTATGGTATTCTGAATCGTAAACACCTTTCTATTGATCTATGATTCTATGCATAAAGAGACTCTTTACGGGCTAGCCCGTTATTTTTTTTACGGGCTAAATAACGGGCTGTTTAGCAACAATACATATTTATTAAAGATATGCAAAGGCAGAAGGCAACAAATAAGAAAAATTAAGAACAATCATTATGTTTACACATATGCACTTCAATCGTGCAGTTAGAATTCCCACTAATCATTAGTCCAGCAGTTGAAGACGATGCAACAGCCCCATTTGGCGTTGAGTGGATATTGCTAGGCCCCGCCAGGGGTATCATTGCTGCAACTGCCATTTTGCTCTTCACTGACGCTTCGATGTATCCCTCTGCCACTCTTGAGGACTTCCAGCCACCAATTTGTTTTACTGGCAGAAGATTTCCAGCAGATTCCGCAACCATACTAGCACCACTTCGTCTTAAACAGTGCCCAGTATACTTTTCAGGGTGATCCAGACCAAGGAATTCTGCTACTTTTCGCGGTACACCACCAATGGTATGCATACCAGCCGGCTGAGCAACGCACTTTCCTTTTCTGTATCCCAAAAAAAAGCGTCTCGTTCCAACATCAAGAGGACGTAATTTGGCATATTTTTTATAAATCTCATAAGGATTCAAAGATCCATTTGCATCAGGAATAATAAACGATCTAGATGTATGAGTCTTCGTATCTTGCAACTTTACTAGAGCGTACTTCTCATGGTCCTCAATATCATCCACAATTAGCTTAAGTAGTTCATCTCGGCGACAAGCCCCATACAGTCCAAAGATCAAGACAACTTTGCAGAGCAAAAAATCATCTGAAGCTTCTAAAATAAATTGGCGGGTGTCCTCAACAGACAAAATCTTAGATTTCTTCGGCACGTAATTAACATTTTGAGCCTTCATGAACGCGATAACCTTTCCAAATCTATAAAACCAATTAAATTAGGTAGATACAACAAATACGGTGATTATTGTTCTCGCAACAAACCTAGATATATCAACATTGCCATTAACGATGAGAGCTTTCTTCAGCATCGAAAATTTAGTCCATAGACTTGATGCCTTGAAGACTTTTGATAGACCAGAAACGTACGCCAACACAACGGTCTCGTTCAGTACCATTTCGCCGACTCTCTTTGCTCTCCATTCGTTAAATGCTGTCAGTTCCTTTTCGTACCGGTTTCGGGATTTCTCAGGTATTAATTTTCCACTAGCTTCTTCCGCTTCTTGGATTATTTCGTCTGGAAGATCCATTTTCTGTCAGATTCAAGAAAAACACAAAACGTTTTTTTTTGTTTATACAGAATGTTGTCGTAGTAACGTTCGCCAAATATTTTCAACGGCCAGTTCGATTGAATAACTTTCGTTTTTTTCCAAAGAAAAAGAACTTTTCGTTAAAGATTTACGATTCGGAATACCATAAAACGTTGTACAACTGCTCACCCGTTACCCGAACTTTACAAGCTCGCACGGATAAAAAGCTCGCTTGTTAACTTCCGTGCTCGCTTGTAAAGTTCTATGTAACGGTCTCGCAATGTAAACTACTATTACGGGTGCATAATTATGACAAACGGCATCCCATAGGACAGAATCAACCCCTTAAAGTGTTGTAAAAAGGATGTATGAAGATCTCGAGGATCGTTCGGTATTCAGTTGTATTGTGTTTTTCAAAGGCTGTGTTGCTTTACATAAATCATTCATAGGACAACTCCTGCATAAAAAGCGGCAAAGATGTAGTAATTCCTTCTCCAAAAGTGAGCAACAATGGCATTACAGCAAAAGTCATTTATATCACACTCTTTTCTGTCACTGCACCACATTTCTCTTCATTAATAGTCAATATTCTTTCTCACTAGATGCTGCAAAGACAAGCAGTTGAAGAGCATCAAAGTAAAATGGAGAAATGGTCAGAGTTACTTGAACAACTGCAAAATGAAGAAGAAAAAGTTCTGATAGCTCAGGCAGAACCTCTTCGTCATTACCTAATCAAGTTTGTCTTTCCAATACTTGGAAAGGGGTTGGTTGAAGTGGCACGTCTAAGGCCAGATGATCCAATTGATTTTTTGGCAGAGTTTTTATTTAAACAAAATCCGGAAGGTCACATGTTCGATCCTTCCTACACTCGAGAAGGGAAAAGATTATCGGATAGTTACAAACAAAATATCAAGGAACAAGTGCATCTGAATGAAGAAAATGAATGAAGGAACCATTTCTGTTATTATTTATTATAATCTCAAATTGCTACTCTACTCAATATATAGGATTGTATGTATATTATATAATGAATAAAAATCTCATAGTAACAATACACGACTTCTAATACGATTAACTACCAATAGCAGAATTCTTCTTCTTCTATAAACTTTCAACTGTAATTAACAATTGAGTTTTTAAAAGCAAAGTAGCAATGTTTTAAATAGGTATGTTATTTATCACTCTTCTTTCTTAAATCTATATAATATAATTAACTAATGCTGTACATAATATATATTAATAAAAAGTAAGGGACACCTGCCCTATCTACGTTGGAAGATGTCGGAGCAATAATCACGCACACAAAGGGAACTGGTAAAGATTTTCGTGCATGACAAGATATGACTAATCACAGTAAAAGTAGTACCTTACATTGCATTTGTCCCCTTCTTTGATGCAACAATGAATGTTCAGTCCGATTATTATTCAAGTTCCCAATAACGTCTAATATATAAAATGTGCCAAATGTAACGTAACAACTGACAACCTTCGAATCGCATGTTACTAGTGCACTATTATTTACATACAACGAATCACATTTCCATTAATTTAAAAACAAAACAACATTATTAACAATATTTACAAGTAAAAAAACATTTAATTTATTTCGAATAAGTATCTAATACTAATAACTAAACGAATAATTTTTATTAAAAATGCAATACCAAAAATATCAAATGTTACTAATGTGCATTTGTACTCTCAAGGCCATTCTTTAAATCATGCAAAACGTAATTTATCATAATTGTACTAGAGACAGTCATTGGATACTGGTAACTAAAATGAACTGGATTATTAGAACAAAAATTTGTTTCAATCTTGACCCGTTCACAAGCACCATCCAATTTGATTTCAACTGCAGATTTTGTTGACTGCCATTTTAAATAAAAAATAATTTTGATCAAATAATATGGGGCAATAGTACAAAAATAATGTCAAATGAACTGTGATAAATTATAGTACTAAGATGAGAGTTGACGAATTAAAATATTAAAAATATGTTTCCATCACAGCCATATAAATCCTAGTAATATCAAGTAGAAAACATTTACTAAAAATAGTGCCTCATTTTTGACGTTAGGCTTTGGTCAGTACTCCTAAAATGTCTAGTTTTTAGTGTCGCTTTATGTAATGGCGAAGTAGCCCTCTTCTAACCTATTTTGATTCTTACTGTAAATTATGTTAATTCTTCATGTGAACTTGAAACCATAACATATTATACAGAAAAGATGTACCCCATTTCGTGATGGGAGATCTCTGACGTTCACACAGGATATGTTAAAAATATCATAAAAAAAGGTGAGTAAATTTACGAGATTATCGACTGTCTTAAAATTAATAACATTTGATATTTTTAGAATGTTCCCGCGAACAATAATAACTTATGAATAACACACCATATGAATAGCTTAGTCGCCTACTTGTGGACTAGTAACATTATAAATACGACATGAGAGACAGTCCCAATAAATCTGTTCAACTAGTGCTACTAAACAGAACTAAGCTGTGCGTTAAATCTTTAACATACCTAAACTATGCAACGTTACATGTTAATTGCTATTTATTCAAAATGGGTTATAAACAATGAGTCTAAAATCTAAAACTGAATCTAAGCAGTATCGATAAAAAAAACTACTCTAATTAATAATACAAAGTAAATAAATAGAACCTTGTGAGAATAAGCAACATCTAGAATTGAGAGAAGAGTAGATATAAAAGGAGGCGCTTGACTCGGCCCTCTTACGACTTAAGTAGCTTGTTGGCTCGCTGGTTAGCCACTGCGATACGTGTTTCGTTGCTCTCGCCCTAACCAACAAACATAGGACCAATACTATATTATGTTTACAAATCACTAATGCCTGAAAACTTGCCCGTGTCCCAAAACCAACATTAACACACCCTGCTCATGCAAATTGTTAGTAGTTAAAAAAATACACAAATTGTTATTAAAATACAGTGCTAAGAGACACGAGTAAGCGCCAGTGACTGAGTGTTGTCGTGTATGTGTCTACTTGAGCAGATTGTGAGCTCGCTGATTCGCCACCTCTATCCGCATCTTATTGGATTCACCCTGAATACGTGTACGTGTTCGGTAGATACGTAGTAATGGTGAGATGGTGTCGTGGTAGATCAAATTGAAACAGCAAACAGACAACATTAAGATTAGTATATGATACAGAAAACAGTAAGCAGCTAAAAGTGTACAGCAGAATCTGCAAACTAAGATGTGGTTAAATACTTGCAGCTTCCTCTGTAAAATTAGGACCATTGCAGGCCCGCAGCCAGGGGATGGCCAGACACCAAGAGTGTGATCTTGACCCATCCAGAAGTTATGGTTAATGGTTTTTATGGTTGTTTTCCAAATAAACAATAAATAAACAATAATCTTTAAAAGTATTTGAACGTAAACATTTTATTGTTTTTTTAAAATTTATAGTTATGAATGACATCGTCTCTGTACCTGGTACGCAAATGGAGAAATCAAATAAAAATAAAACACGATAAAACGATAAAAAAATATTAGTAGATACTATACTATAAATTGAATACTAGATAGAAAATTGCCGTTGTTTTGAAGAATAATTTGGTAGTTCTGCTTTTTCTGAAGCCCCACCTAGAAAAATGCGTGCCATTCCTACTACTTCATTTTGGCTACGGACCTGTACCATTGACACAATTCAATTCCATAATTAGATAATATGAATTGATACTAAAATATTGACAAAGCGAAAGTGTTATAGAGGAATTTCCATTCAGATGGCAGTACAATGGGTATAGGATAACAGTGTTGCTAATCCTACTGACATTGTAAGTTTTGCTAACTAGCTACTGTTGGATAAATACTCAAAAACATTTAACACTAACTGCTTGCATGTGAAATTTAACACTTTTTCGTTTTTGAATTTTACTAAACTTGTCGCCATTTTTTTGACATCGACATGACAAACTTTGACAACATACCTCTGTAATGCTGCCATCTGTGTTAATTCCACTATAGTAACAATGCTAATTGAATTGTGTCAAGTTGCCAGTCTTCAATTGTTATTTTATAGTGGGGCGTTACAGTTTAGTTCGATTGGTCAACTTTCCTAAGTTTGGAACAGTCGTTTTCATTTACCAACCCCCTTAATTTGATTAAATGATTGTAAAGCCCCAATGAAAAGCTTTGTGGTTATCTATGGCAGAAATATTTTTTTAAATAGATTTCAAGCTTGCAAGATTTAAAAATTCATTCTGCTTAATTAAGCCGATTGGCGATTGCAATCTAAATTTTAATACGTTTGTGTTTATAGCAAACCAAAAAGCACCTTCTTAAAAAATTCATTATGATCACAGGAGAGTTTCTAAATATTTTGTTAGGAGGGAACCTCTATATTTCTACAATATATGTCAGGTTGTAACGGTTGGGATTCCTATTAACAACATATTTCGAAAATAGGTTTGCTAATGAACACGCTTCATATTAGGACCAGTGAAGTTAGCATAACACGATGACACAAGTAAGATACTGTTTTGGTTAGTGCTGTATCTGTGCCTTATTGCGTGGTTCAAAAGATGTTAACAGAACAATAGGGAGGTTCAACATTTTTGGTATTTATTTTATTTTAACTAAAATTGAGAGTTTGTTATTAAAAACGACAAAAAAAAATGAGCGCAAAATATTGATATTTACGTCCGCTGTAAGTACTTTAAAATCACGGGTTAGCGCGAAGGAAGAAAATGTACGCTGTGCGCTCGACTGCGTGACGTCAGTAGCCAGAAACATTTGCCGCCGCGGCGTTCGCAGAGTATATATATGAATTCACGTAAACTAGGACCGATTTATTTATTGTCTGCAGAATGGTGCAAGGTTATCAAAAACACTAATTCGCGAAATTCACCCCCATGTGAAAGTGGAAATGGAGTGATTGCCTAATAACGCAAATTTAAATGAACTTTAGAGCAGCGGTATTTAAGTAGACATATGCACCTGCAGAAACTCCATTTCCACATTAACATGGGGTAAATTACGCGAATTAGTGTTTTTGATAACCTTGCACCATTGTGCAGCAAATAAATAAATCAGTCCCAGTTTACGGGAATTCGCATACTCTGCCAGCACGGGGGCATATGTTTCTGGTTTCGTTGTTTAATAACAAAACAAGGCTCTTTATGGTATCTAAAATTTTGCTACTAATTTACGTACGTAAAAAATTTGTGGTCAGTGGCGTACTTCTGCAGGCCGACCGCCGAAGGGGGGCATATTTTTGGCAACTACTACTTTTCGTTACATATTCTTAAAAAATATACTTTTTTGGATATAGCAACATAAAAAACTTATATTAGATAGTTAAATTAAAGAGAAAACTCAAATTAAGGAATTACTTAATTTTAAGTTCACTAGTTTACGTTGAAAAAAATCGTTATTTTTTGGTTAATCAAAGTAATTTATTGTATCAAAAATCATTGCAAACTTATAAGCCAATTGGCTTAAAAATTATGTACAGTGGCGCGCGTCTACAGAACTAAGAGGGCCACTTTTTTAATGGAAGGCACTATTTTTCGTCAGGTATTGAACTTTTTTTAAATATGGCAACATAGAAAACATGGTGAAAACTAGTTAAATTATAAAATTAGTTAACCTAACTATTTTCCTCAATTTGAGTTTTTCTCTTAAATTTGGTTATGTACCTAATATAATAAGTTTCTTATGCTGCTCTTTAATAATATGTGATGAAAACTAGTAATTGCGATAAAAAAATTCCCCCCTTGAACATGCAGAAGTACGCCACTGACCACAAATTTAAAGTACGTAGATTGGTAGCAGTTTTTTTTGACAATTTTAGTTACAGTGTGATGTAGTTCAGTTGAAGCTGGACTGCGGTACTAAGGGTCCCTGGTTCTAATCCGGGTTCGGGCATGGATATTTGTAAATGTATAGATAGTGGGTAGTATAGCAGCCTTGGCTGAATCCCCACTCACTCAAAAATAAAGGCATAAATAAATAAAATGTTGTTTTGAAGATATATTCAGTGTTTCAGATAAACTGTTCATCCTGTATAATAGAAATTATAAAAAAAGATTGTAAAAATTGTATTATCTGAAATCTGGAGAAACATTGATAAGCTTTGTGTGACCAGAATAATTATTGGATCATATGCGATAGAGTTATAAGGGACAATACATTTTCACTTATTTCAAAGGGGGTGTTTGGATTGCGCCAACACCCAACTAATAGGGTTTTTGCATTATAATGTACAAAATGGTATGTGCCCAAAATTATCACAACAAAACGTGACAACGACACTCATCAACACTTATTAAGCTCACTTTTTGTGCCATCCGGGTTCTGTTAATTTCACTGGCCTTTGATTAATTTAATTAAGCTATTTCCACAAATAGCCCACTTGATAATAAAGCAAAAACACAAGCACAAAATTCTCTGTCAAAAAATTAGAGCGGTAACTATAAAAAATCAAACCATTCCGATATGAAAGCAAATTTAGCTTTCAAGCAAAAGCACAATACCTTAAGATTGATACGATCGATTTGACGATTTTGATTTTCCAATTCCGAACCCATATCGATGGCCATATTTCGTAAATTACCGATCATTGTATTTACTTGTCCCATATTCTCCTCCATTTCCTCTTCGCGTGCGTCGTTCGTGATGCGACCTATGTAACCGCCCTGTGGTCCCATTCCATTACGATCGTCCATCATGCGCTGCGGCTGATTGTTCACAACCTTACCATCATCATTACCTTTCCATGTACCCTCGTCTTCTTTGAAAGATGAACCCCTTTGAAATAGTGTCAATTTAGACACGCACAAAGAAAGTGTATGAAATATATGTGTAGAGTTGCCATGCGAGTGAATTGTACAGTGTGAAATGGCAAATTTGATTTCTAATTATATTGACATGATTTCACTTACTTTTGACACGGAAGCACACAGAGGCCGCAACATTTTTCCATTCCTGTAAGGTTTTTTTCGGCTTCGCGCATGTCTGTGTTAATTTGATCCATTCCATCCTCAATTCTATCCAATTGTTCTGCATTGATATTAAAATAGTAAGTGGACTTTTATTGGAAAATTTAAATTACGCACAAGACTTTATGAATGATGTGTAACATAAATTAATAACAAAAATCATGCACATGCTAGTTTCTGAAGAAATAGTTACACATAACTATTGATGAACGAGATTCGGACATTCAATTGTTTTGAGGAAAACGCAATAATTGCACTCACGTGTGACCCTTGACACATTCAAGTTGTACTGACACGCATACAATATGTTATTATCTCTATTCACTTTAGAATCAACATGAGACATTCCCTCACGTTTGAACTAGCCAATAACATCCAATCACAGAAGCGTACAAGATTTAAGTTGAACAATGATAATGATATGCCAAGATTCTGAAAAGGTAAGCGAGTCGCGATATCAGCGATAATTGCACGCTTGACTGTAAAAACGATAGGTGGCAAAATTCAACCCAGGTACCTTTTGTCAAATTTTCATTGCGCTACACACGGGCCAAATGAGAGCAGCTTGTTAGAAAAACGGATACAAATGGTAATTGGCTAATAAATATTGCATCCAATGAAAAATATAGGAGATACAACGATGGTCAAATTAGGGAAAAGTTGCACCATTAAACAGTTATGCTTTAAAGAAAACCAGACCCAATTACTTCCGAAGATATGCCAGAAAAACAGAAATTTACCGATTTCGTTTTTTTTCTCATGTTATTTGAACAAATACAAAAAAATAAAAATCACTTTCTCATTGCTACTTTTTGAACTCTACAGGACACCTTTGAAAGATTTTCATCTACATACTGTATTGAGTAGCATGTTTTATTATGAATACAAAGATATACAGCACACAAAAAAAAACAAAATGTTGGTTTCAACAGGACGGTGCACTCACGAGAATGCCTATATTACAAATTTCCTGGAAAATGGACAATGTATCCGATAGGTAGGTATTTGCGCACGATTAAGGCGATATGCGCAGGTGCACCATCCTGTTGAAACCAACAGTTTCCAGCTTTTGTTTTTTATTTGTGCTAGACAACATATTCGTGATCAAAATTACTCAATACAGTATGAATTGGTTTTACGGACCATATGAAAAAATAAAGTTGATGATTTCTCTGAAACGAAACGTTGTATTGAAAATCTCTCAAAGGTGCCCAAACAGTGGCAATGAGAAAGTGTTTTTATTTTTTTTGTATCTGTTCCAAGTAACATCAGAAAAAAATAAAAACGAAATTGCCAACTTTCGGTTTGTCTGGCATATGTTCGAATGTAATCGGAATTTTCTGGTTTTCTTTAAAGCAAGTAATTGCGCTCCTTTTGTCTAAGTTGACCATCGTTGTGTCTTCTATGATTTCGGAGATCCCATGATAGACATCCTTATCTTGGACACAGTGTATATTTAGTACCTAGGAAACAGTACTCTTGTATACTAATGTTCTGGTTATCGATATGGCAAATCATACGACTGGAAATGAAAACTGTAATTCGAAGAAAGGTTCATTCTTTACTTTGCTAATGAAATTCCAACAATTGCAAAGAAATTATGTACTCGTGGAAGATTAAATTTTCCGTTATACTACATACTTTTGTTTTTCCTAAATGAGAAATTGTTTCTGCTTCAGAAGCACTTGTTTTAAAACATTTTGAAAAGGATGAAAATATCATCACGTCTTAATTTTACGACTAAAATCGCTATTTGCGCGCATCAGCATATGACCTATTTTTATGTGCCCGCTTTATTGCCAAACATTTATTAAATGCTTTTAATAAACATGTTTGCTGATAAAGAAAAAATCATATAGGTATGTATTATGCGATTCACACAAATGCGTTGTTTCCCAAAAGACCGGGGTTGGAGAAACCCAGAAACCTATTAGTATAACAATTACAGGTGCCATTAAGTACCCACATTAAATCTATACAATACATCTATTTCAAGGGAAGCAGCAATTTCCTTAGAAATCATGTACTTCCACGTCAACAATAGAAGCACGTAAAGGAATTGTGACAACACTGTATAATTTACGCCCATAAAAATAACATTTCCCTGAATTTTCAAGTAATCGAACTTAGGTAAAATCAATAACAAATGTTTTGGAGCATCAACCATCTTAAAATTTCTTGACGCATGCATACATTGATGCCAATGTGTATTCAATACGGTCCCATTGAATGAATTGCTATTTCAGGAGTCAGTAGAATTGACACACAGAGATTACCATGATGATTGCCAGCAATAATTTTAATGTACGAGGGCGTTTTTTAAAATTATTTACCTAGCAATGATAATGACGAGGATAATGACGTCACACAAACAAATTGCTTGTCTGCCAACTGCGTATATTAATACTGTGCGATCAAAAATGAGTTGCTGTCGAATCACCTTTGGAACTTTTGTTTACATGGGAAATCGTATTTAACTTGAACTTCCAAAGGCGACTCGACAGCAACTCATTTTTGATCGCCCGGTATATTTATTTGTTTTCTGAGAGCTATCGATTTCGGTTTTACACCATTGTCAGGCTTTACTAAAAATAAGATAAGGGAGACTCCCATAGTGGCATTCAAAAAATGAACACCCTGTATATGCGAAAATGTGGGCAAAGTCCATCAGTTGATCGCGTACGTTTGGGTCATACTGCTGTCGAAATGACCGCAAATGTAGTAACATTCAAAAATAGTGAAGCGTTAAATTGTAAATGAAACCAGTGAAGTATTAAATGTTCAATAGTAACTAATTAGTAAAATTTACAATGGCAGTAGGATTGGAAACGCCGTTTATCCTATACAAGTGCACTGCCATCTGAATGCGAATTCCACTAGTGTAGTAAGTATTTGGACGTACATTTTCAAGTAAAATATTGGTCAAAACAATTGCTAGACCACTTCAGACAAGAACCATAGGAGTTGGAGATTTACTGCCGTCTGCTGGACTGTTTGAAAGTAAAGCTTCTTAGATTATAGATGATTTGGGCATGAAAAAGTGTCTGCTTGATGGATTCGCTTACGCCAGAGAGGAAACTGCTGCCGAAAGAAATTTGTCAGGTTTACGAAATGCTTGAAGGCACTTAAATCAAAACGACCGAATTCATGGCGATCAAAACCGGAATGGCCATGTTCAAACCATTATCGGCAACCATGGGTTCATACAATTCCAGCATGCATCCTAGAACCCAGATTTAGCACCTTGCGAAAAGGTCGCAAATTTGCCTCAGTAAATGATGACCTGAAAAGCGCAATAATGTTTTTTTTTAAACGAACACAAAATCATTTATTTATGGAATAAAACAGCTGAACTAAGTGTATTAGTGTAATTATGTAGAAAAAAAACGCCCTCGTAATTAAAAATCTGTGAATATTGTGTACTTGACAGATTTAACGCTATAACTAATTCCTTCAGAAAACACTATGATGCACTACGACTACTGATAAGCATGCGACTAAATTAAAATAGCGAAACTAATTTGAAGCAGCAGCAGTAATAGTCGCTCGAGCATTGAGAGTGTGAAGAACGTATAAAGTACTGTGGGGGTGTGTTAACTTACATTGATAGTGTTAGTCCTTTGGTGTGTATTGATTGAATCATGTCATCGAATTATGTACACAATATTATTACTTGTGCGTTGTTTAAAATATTTTGCTATGCGTTCATTTGTTACAAAACATTTTAAACAAAAGTTATGTTAAGACGATAGTATATTATGGTAACTGTAGGATTTGCTGACAGGATCGATTGGAAAGGATAATATTCAATTCTTAGAGACCTTGTAATGTTTTCTCATTAGAAAGTGTGTGACAGGTATTTCCGAGGGAAATTTTTATTTAAAGTAGCGCATTTCACAAAGCCAATTTTTAAAATACAAAAAGAAGGAATAAATAAGGATTTTCATTTACAGCGGTATTATGAATTTGTGAAATGTAGTACGTTGAAAAAGTAAGAAATAATATTTCATTTACAGAGTGACTCAATAGTTGTCCTTTATTTCTTTCTGAGCGAGATTAAGCTCTAATATGCAGACTAAGCATACCACACTAGTTAAAAATAATATGCATCTGAACACATTTCAAAAATTAACAAAAACAAAAAGCAGTAGCTACATGAAAACCAAACCACTTCAATTTTTTATCTGCCTATCAGTTTTTGAATATATATTTCTACGACCCATAATTTGAAATGATGTAATGGGAATTTCAAATAATGAAGACAGTATGAGTCTGGCAACGTTAGGGTTGAACGTTAACAAAAACAAAAAGCAGCATTTTCAAAATAAATTTCATTTTCTATAATCACAGTAAACCACTAAAAGTTATTAACAAATTCTGGTCCATATTATATGCCCAATCTTTTTTCACATTCAGTGTATCTTAATGAATTGACAATTTTTTATCTGCCTATCAGTTTTTGAATATATATTTCTCACTTTTTTGTAAATTAAAAAAAATCTCGTTAGTGACATGTTAAACTGTAATTTGGAAATGTTGAACAAAGGAGGGACTAATGTAATGGGAAGGTGGGTAGAGGTTGCGGGACAGCAATTAGATGCTTACCACCCTGCTCATCCAGCATGACTAAGGTTTTCATTCCAACCTCGTGGCTCTATAAACATCAATACAGTCAACTGAAGGTACCCGAATTACATTTCAACAATGTTCACTTAGTGAGCAAAATTAAAATGTCTCAGTGTCATTTATTCTTATTGTTAACTTAGAAGACAGAGGTCCAGGACATGAAACCAAAAAGTTATATAGCACCCCATAAACCAATCAGTTGATTAATAGTAAACAACTGAACAATATACACAACCACCCTTGTTAGTTTCTCACAAGGGAACAACTGATTAAAATCTTACCGCCTTGATGATTTAATAGTTGTAGGGTATTCGCTCCAGCGTCCTCGCTCTATAACACCATATGACACTAGTAACAAGCATTCACATAATAAAGAATATATAACGTAATACAGTGACAGAACTACGATACATACGACAACAATTTTATACATGTAAAACAGAGAGTGCAATAAAAATTAAGAGTGCCAGTTTAAGCAAAGCTCGACAAACAAGCATGCAGTGTATGTAAAAAACCGTGAAAACTCCCTAATGGATACCATAAATAAACATGACGTTGAATGTTAAGTATATAAGATGATTCTAAGGTTTGTCACCGTTTAACACAATGTTAATTGTAAATTTTTGGTACGCATCGTATATAACAAAATTACATCAATCAAATTTACAAACGTAGAGAGATAGTGGGTAGGATGATGGGAATGGGTGTTATATATGTGAGGAGTGGAGTGACTCACCTCCCTGGTCATCAAGAGCGACCAAGGTGCGGATCCCAGCCTCCTTGCTCTAGCAGCACAAAAAGTGTACAGCGTATGTTAGTACATGTACATGTTAGTAGGAAGTCAATGTGACCTGTTAGTTGGCAAAAATATTTTATTTGCGAATATCACACAGATGTTTTAAAACAAAAATTTCCACTGTTTGGCATGTTATGGTAGTGGTTGTTAAGTGCATTCTGCTAGTGTGTGTGCAGACGGTAAGTGTATTTAATCTGTACATAGAACACATCACGACACTGCCACACTTGCAGGGCTACCGCTACCAGAACATTCAAATCTTACTCATTAGCTACCACTTCGCCCGTTGCCGTGAGCCACATTATGAGCACAATTTGCTGATTTTACAGAGCAGTATGCAGACGTGACCTTAGCTTTCAAAAAAATTTACCTATTAAACATTTATTGCTTATGTGCTATATCTCTTCTTCCTTAGCTAAAAAATGTATACAGATTAATATTTACATACATATACGCAGATTGGTCTAGAATTTTGCGGGAAGCACACCAACATAAAAACAATTACACTACACACAGGAGTAGCAAGCAGCATTACAATCATTACAGTTTAGATATAATACCTACATTTTTAATTATTGTTTCATCAATGGTTATTGGCAATATGGCAAAAGAATTTGTTGATTGGCACATGGTTTTGACATACAAAGTAGTCATAAAGGTCGACATTTGTTGAAAGCCAAACAATAACGGTGCAGCTCAAAGGTAGTTTAAAATCTCCGAAATGGAAACATTGACATTTCCTTTCATACTTTTTATAAAGAAAAATGTAGCGTTTATTGACTTGAGCTCTTTGACGGCTCAACCCTGACCTAAGGCCTACGACGGCCCAAAACGAATTAATTAATTTTCTCTCTCTTAGAACCAATTAGTGCCCCCGCCAAGCAGCGTAACTTCTTTAACAACGACCGGATGTAATTCATCTGCTCCATACCTTATTTCTCATCAACCTAAGCATATCTTGCATCAAGTACGGTATAAAAATTGATACAGATTTTTGGTTGTGACAACTTTCAAGCAGCAAGTTCTAAATTTGCAACTGCCTTCTATGGAGAAGTGGACAAATATTCAATTTAAATGTTCTATCTGACGATAGCGGCTCACCCCGTAATAATATTTTTTTACCGACCACTTTCGCCGTTAGCTTTGCAAGATTTCTGTTGGTATGAACATAATTTCCAGCGAAAAAGTAACACCAAGGTCTTTAGAAGTACTTGTTCCTTCAGAACTCGCCACAGATGACGTGATTAAGGTAAAAATAACTACGCGCCTCCTTCCTTTGCGCTTCTGTGTCTTCTTACTCACTCCTCTCCCCTTTTCAATTTTTCTCCCTTTCTTCACGCATCCTACACGCCTCTTTGACTCCTTTGAGCTTATGTCATGCCTTTTTCACGTCATTTACAAATCCTCCTTTGATGCATCATTGGCGAATCCTCCTTCGCATCTCCTGCACGTCTCCTTCTATATTTTCACCACGCATTCTTCACATTGACTTTACACCTTCCCCTCTACTTTTTAGTGTCTTACAACAAGCGCCCTGATAAGATGCTAGGGGTTGATAATTTGTACAGGATGGTTCAAATTCATGGTTCACAATTGGGACCTCCGTAACGGTGAGAGATACAGTGTAGGTTAAATGGAGGCAAAGGTTCAAAAATCTTAAAATAACCCAAAAACTGAAAATTTTAAATTTCGTTTACGTTTTCCCTAGCTTAAACGACCGGAAATGGACGGTTCCCGTTAGCACCGTTTTGAAGAAATCTAAATCTGCAGAAGCTGCAGGCTACTACTTTCCTATTTCTTATGGGCGCCATATTAGATTTTTACGGAATGAGATAAGACAAGAAAAGAAAACTAATGACGTGTCACTTTTACATAATTTACAAGAAACATTTTAAAATCAAATGTCTCAACAAAAAGTCCACGGGTAACTAGATCTTGCTGACTCAACATGATTATGATGGCGATGCATTCAAATGAATTTCTTTTTTGTCCTCTACCTCATTCCGTAAAAATTCAATATGGCGTACATAAGAAGGTTCTCACCAGAACCGTCAATTGAAAAGGAAATTTGACATTTTCCATTTTTCGATGATATCTCAGTTATTTTCAAAGTGGCAGAAATCTTGGGAGTCACGCCATCTGTTAAAATATCAAAAAAACAAAGGTTATTGATGATCAGGAACGCCAAACGCACTTGTGAGAAAATAGTACATCACACCGTGAAAGTCTCGCAGGTATCAGACGCCGCAAGGTCGTATCAAGAACACAGGGACTCCCAGGTTGGATGAGTCCTAATCAGAGGGAAAAACAGATTTACAATCCACTTCTAGCAATCATGAAATCCATTACTAAGCCTAGTCCCGAACACTTGAGGAAGATATGCCAACCGTGGCTTCAGACAGAAGAGGAAAGCAATTCTTGAGCAAGCAGGATTGCTCTCAATCGAAGATGATGTGGATTAGGTATCTAACGAGTCAGGAGCAGGCTACTAAAAGAGATTCCTCAACAGGTTGGAGATTCTAAGAAAGGGGAAAAGCATTGTTCAAAACTATTAATTCGATAAGTCCAGAAACATCAGTCGACTGTCCCCGCAAAGTGGCAAACGCAGTAGTTAAGGCGGAAAGTGTCAATAACAATCAATCCACAAGCTCGGTCTTTATGTAAGTGGGATTGGTGAAGGTTGGCACAATGGGCTAGTGTGGAAAAAGTCTAGTCTCTTCTGTGCCTTATTGTGAGTGCTATACACTGTGCCCAAGATAAAAATATCTATCATGAGGATATTGTTCTCGAGAAAGTACACATTGGATTGAGTAGTATTTTTTATTACGATTATAACAATATATGGCACACAAAAAAAAAGTTGGAAATTCTGGTGGTTTCAACAGGATGGTGAACCTGCACACAACACCCTAATCATGCGAGAATATCTGTCGGACAAATCTCCTAGAAAATGCAAAATTTTTCTTCGGTAGGCATGATACTCCAGATGTTATGTTGTATTTATTTAAATACCGACCATCTGTATTATTCGTTCAACTGTATCGCATTTTCCTTATTGATCACTGTCAATTTTCCTCTTTTATAAACACTATTACCTTTTATCTATTTTAAGCATTCTTAACTTTAGCTCTTTCCTTTTTAATTGAATACATAATATGTTCGCAGCTTGCATGGAATCAGCAGAGAAATCTTGTGTCTAGTCATGTGTCAAGGTAAGTTCATTTGAAGTAATTTTAAGACTTGCATTTTTGCTAAGGCTATTTTTCAAACCTTGTTATTCATATGAATTCCAGCCTGCACGTGTAGCTAATATGATCTTGATGTGAATGCGCATTTCCAACAAAAAAGGTCAGAGGAAATTTACCGCACAAAGGCAAAACTGAGGGCAACAATGAAAAACGCAGAATTTGAGGATGTTATTTTATGAAACACTGTGTGCATCTATTGATACTTTCTGAAGTAATAAAATCGCTCATTTTGTGATAGGTACTGTTAAACAAATACATGATACACCTATATCATTTCACACACCCTGTATGTTTGACAACATTAAAATCACATTAACATAAATTATGGTAGTGAATTGCGTATTTAAATCTCTTAAAATACGCCTCGTTATTATTCATTCGGAATTGCCGACATTGATTTATGTGAATATACAGTGTGTAAAGCGATGGGGTATACAAGAGGGAATTTTTTTTAAAATATTGATTTATGAAAAAAATTTATTCTTCGTGATATTTTTTGCTTGCTTTGAAAGTACCAATAACGTTTCGATTGTTTGTGCTTTGATAGCAATACGCTATCTTGATTATAATGTAGAATAACTTTCAATAAAAAAAATTAATTTTATTATTTTTCCAGATTTTTATAAATAAATTTTAGATTATCGAAACGTTATTGGTACTTTGAAAGCAAGCAAAAAATATCATGAAGAATACATTTTTTTCATAAATCAATATTAAAAAAAAAATTCCCTCTTGTATACCCCATCGCTTTACACACTTCCAATGGTAGTAAAATATCTAGATTAGGACATGAAAATGAATTTTTGAAGCTAGACAAACAAAATTTTAGAAATACAGAAAGTCGGGCATTTCTACATTCTAGACCAATCCAAAAATGTCATAATATACACAGCTGGAAAATAGATTTAACACCCAATGACATGCATACTGAACTGCAAATTCGGCAATGTACCAAATTAAAAATACCAATGCAAGGTTTTAGCAGTCAATAATCACTTGCGTTGGTACGTCAACATGTATTGTTAAAGAAGACAGGAGAGAACATTTACAGTACCATATGAATTTACTGAAATCAACCTATGTGTTATCAAAAGTGCGCTATGATAAAATGGAGTTTAGTCTACAGACAGTGTCATAAACTTTTGATCGAATAACGCCCCTGATAACCTTTAGTTTGTAGTGGGAGTTTTCTCGTTCTAACATGAACGTAGGATCATTGTTAGGTTCATATGTTTTTGATGTGAACTGTCCAAAACACATGCACAAACATCAACACCACAAAAACACTTACTTGTTTAGAAAAACAAAATTACATAGTTTCAATCAGATTGCTTATGAACAATTATTGAATAATGATGATGATGTTGAAATAATGAATGGAAATAGTCTGGAAATTTCCGTATTGAAATAAAAAAAAGAATCCTCGCTTAATGTATTCTCCTGAACAAAATTTGTTCGACTGATAAGTACAGGGTGGCCAAATAAGAATGCGAGGTACTGTATCTGGGAACCTGTCCATCGTAGAGGATTGCGGTAAAAAAATTTTTAAGTTTCTGCAATGGCCGCTAGGGGGCGTAACTCCAATCTGAAATCTAAAAAAGTGATTTTTCTATGAATTCCGCTATATTAACCTAACAAAAAAATGTCCGGTCTTTGAAGTTGATGATAATCTGAACTTTTTTTGTTTGACAATTTTTCCTGTATCTCTAAAAATGAAGTGGTGGGGGGGGGGGTATTCAAAGGTTTCCGTAAAGAACACCCTGTATCTTCTAAACGACTGAACCGATTTTAACAAACTCAGGTTAATTGAAAAAAGTTATTCTTCGGCTACAAATATTATACATATTTGAAGTTTTGTTAGTTTCACATATCGCCGCTTGAGGACTTTTTTCGACATTCCGACAGAAATGGTTAATTTTCTCAAAAAAATTAAATGCTTTGGTTTGATTTTTTTTTTCATGAAAAAGTAGGTAGCTAAATGATGTCTAAACAAGCTCGCGAAAACCGCATCTCGATATCTTGTTCCTAACCTAAAATTTGGGCCAAAGAAAATTTTATACCCTCAAAATTTTATTTTTTTAAGCTAATTTTTCCGGAATTATTTTTATTATATAATTTGTGGCCCTAAGGTGGATCGATTTAAAAAAAGAAGCTTTTAATGTCGCCGTAAATGCTCGAAACCTTTGAATACCCCCCACCACTTCATTTTTAGAGATACAAGAAAAATGGTCAAACAAAAATTGTTCAGATTATCGTCGACTTCAAAGACCGAACATTTTTTTTGTTAGGTTAATATAGCGGAATTCACAGAAACATCACTTTTTTCGATTCCAGATTGCAGTTACGCCCCGTAGCGGTCATTTCAGAAACTTAAAAATATTTTCCAGGTTTTGCTCGTGGCCGTTTTAGTATTTTTTTTACCGCAAGCCTCTACGATGGATAGATTCTGAGATACAGTACCTCGCATTCTAAGTTGGCCACCCTGTACTCTTTGTATTATGAGCAGAAATACCCTTCCACAATCTTGATACAATAGTTTTCAAAAGTTGAGCCTTATTGATGATTATTGAAAATAACCAGTAAATGATTGTTTTTAATGTATAATAAAAAAATATATTAAAAATACAGTCTTGTTTATATTTGATTCGCCCTCGTAATTAATCGATTTGCCTTTCTGAAAGGTGCTACTGTTGAAATTTCACCAAGCACGTCCCACAAATAATAGTACCTTCTGCGCATGCGCGCACTTTGATTTTCATATGTTTAATACATACATATAATCAATCGATTTCGCTTTATTGAAAGGCGCTATTGTTAAAATTTCATCATGATCGGTCCATAAAATGGACTTTCTGTCTCTCCGTCCGGTTTTGAAATTTCAAGTGCTGTTTTCAGTATTATGTTTATCATCACCCAAGAAAGAACTGATTAAATTTTCAGTGACCTAGGAGCTCCTTTGCTATATTTGTTACAAGTTTATTTGATGTGCTGTTTCTCATGTGACTTCATTGTAAACGTTTGGGATAACTAGGTTCATATATTTATGACGTTTTTTAGCTATTCCCATGAAATGCATCCTAATTTCAAAAAGACAGGAGCAAAGTGGTATCCTGTCAGCCTTCACCTTGCATTATGGCAGTTTGAATGTCACCAAAGATCTAATAGCGTGTAACAGTATAAATTCACTTACTTCATTAGGTGGGGAACAATCTATCTTTATTCTGTATAATCCTCAAGTGACAGTTGCCATGCACATACCCAAGAAGTGTTTAAATGGCGACCATATTCGAAAAGTGTACTGCGGAAGAGCAGCATACTGTTGGGAGTGTTTTACTGGGCATAAGAATTTGATTTGTTTGGTCCATTCAAAAAACTTCTTGACGATAAGATTTCAAGAGCTCCAGGTCACTAAGCTCCAATTGTGATAACCGTCCCGAAGCAAATGAGGTCAAGAAACATACCTCTTCAACAACCTGAGAGGGAGACTATGGAAACTAGCATTATAGTGGGTCGATTTCTGGAATTATTCATTGTTTGATGTACAGGGTGTCCAAAAAGTATTGAATGATATCGTATATATCTTTGTAAATATCCATTTTTCCAAAAAATGTTTATTTGGTATTTAATTTCTCATCACACTATTTTATATTTATTCACTTTTTTAATCAAATGATAATTGTTTTTTAAATGACAAGATATATGTTCTGTCAATTTATTTGAGGGTTGATTTTCATTTAAAAAAATGTGTTTATATTTTTTAAGAAATTTTGAGAAAATAATAATTTCAACACTGTTTAACAATGCTATTTACGAAAATATTGATGTGTAAACAACGTCATATAGACGTTATTTAGGTCTAAACACCAGAAATAAAGAAGGGACGCCCTGTATATGATATTATTTCAAGTTATTAAAGGAAATCGGTGGGATTATTTACGAATAAGCGCAGAATTGATTTATGTCATTTGAGTTTGTATTTCTGTAGTGTTATTTTTCCGTTTAGAATTGTTTGTAATTGCCTATTGTTTATTTAATTGTAAAATGTGAAATCGCATGATAAAATGTAGAAACATCTGGTCATTTACGATAAGAAAACTAAACGTCTGAACTAATTGGAACCAAATGTGGTACACATATTCTTAGGAAGAGCTGAGGTGTTGGGCAGAATCGCGCACGCGCAGGTGTGCGGATGGTATCTGTGGTAACCACAACAGTGGGAAAGTGTACGTTTCTTTACGCTATTTATTCCGACTGTCCGCCCAATTTCATCGATTGAAGACGCGGTTCGTCCCTGTCGTCTGTGCAGAAGAAAATTGAAGTTACTTAAAAGTTGTGAGAAGTTTACTGCGCACTTTTACAGAAAAGGTTAGTCAAGTTGAGGTAAAGGTAAAGGAATCAGTTTAGTGGACCGTGAGACCATCCGTCAAGGTGCTCTCTTTATTCAAGTTATACCATTTGCACAGCCACCTATAATTTTTGTCATTGTATTCAACATGCCAGTTTTTATCAAGTTTGTGTTAAAAAAAAAGTGAAGTTCTGAAGCTGTCAACGTTTGTGTTGAGTTAAGAGCGCCAGTTTATCGCAAACCTGTTCAACCGGATTTTAATATTTTAAAAAAAGAACTGTAATTAATTCTAAGATTTTCTTATTTTTAATTATCGACTGTCTGAATACGGGGTACCATGTAAAAATAAGCTTTTATATTTACATCTGATTGTAGTATGCTAATGAACCAACTAACATGAACGATTCTTACTCCATTTTCCAACATTGAACTGTACCTAAAGTACCAAGACAAAGACAAACTATGACATCCTGAAAATAGTGATCTGAAGGAGTCCAAGGTTGACCAGTTCTTCCTAAGCCGTAACAACAAACAATAAAACCCAGCAGGTTGTGTGACAGCCCCACTCTGTACTCTTAAATCCCAGTTTTGAATTTCAGAAAATTTTTCAAATAGATTTATTGTTGGTAAATCTGTAATCATAATGTCGTAATGTAAAAGTGTAAGTGTTAAATGTAAAATTGTGTATAAAGTCTAGATTTTCGTATCCTAAGTTTGCAAATAATCAATAACATTCATTTGGCGTTCTGTTTATTATGTAAATATTCCCACAAACACAAAAATTAAACTGTCCCTTGCCTGTATGACGATCGTAATAGTATAACTGAACCTTTGATAACACACAGGGTAGTATCAGAAATACATAATATTATACATTTGTATTGCTCAACACATAAAATGAACTGGTATTGCTGAGAAGTGGAGTAAGAAATGAAAAGACAGTGCACAGAGACAGTGCATGCATTACATAAACAGGTATAAGTTAAGAAACACTGACCTATGCACGCCAAACAAGCCTCTACACTTTTTTAATGTAAAAATACAAAAGTGCAGCTCCATATTACATTTACCCTTTGGCCTTAATAGCAGTCATGTTGTAAATGGAAAACACCAACTATCTAATAACCACTTTACAGTCGTCTTTCAGTTCGAAAATTTAGATTTTTTTACAGGATTTGCACATAGAAAAATGATCGTAGGCTAGTGAATAAGAGACGTTCATCGTAAAGAAAGTGTCTTACCTCCTCGCATAACGCCAGCATCCGCCTCGTGCTATCGAGTGACTACAAATAAAACAAGATGATTATCGAAAGCTTATTGAAAGTACACAACTCGAATTACCTCATCTGTAACTTGTGTCGCTTTAAGTTGAAGTTCCTGAAGTTCCGATTTAGGTGCTCCATTTTCAGCTGCGGGTGCGGGGGCAGGCATTTTGGTAGTAGTGACTTACTCTGTGAACAAAAAACAATAACAACCACTTTCTTGCTGAAAGAAACCTGACTGCTTTTGTAACTAACCACTACGCTTATTATGCTAACCACAGTTTAATGAATACAAAATTCATTTAAAATGCCAGCAGCGAATAATAATTTACAAAAATAGTAAATAACGTTGAGAAATTCAATTTTGTGTAACAAGAAAAAGCCCGCTAGTGATGGGCTCAAAAATCAATAATTAGAGGACAGTAAAGACGCGTACGGAAATTACGGTGCATAAATAAATTTTGGTACAAGACGTACCTACTCAAAGAACATCGCCAATTATAAACAACAATTTTTGGGTTTGTTATCAATGGAATAAATAAGAAAAAATCTACATGACAAAAAATAATGACAGACATGCAATAATACAATAGTAGAGTGCAAGTGGACTCACATTGTAAAAAAATAGAGAAGAGTGAGTGAAGCAAGATTTTAACAGCAGTAAAGAGAACACCGACACTGAAAATTTTGTTTGCGCTAATTTTCCATAAGTTGACAGAAACTACTGTCAAACGAAGGGAGTGATGGAAACAAGAAAACGCAAAGTCGCAAACTGCACACTTGAAGACGACAAGGGCGCATGCGCCGATTTTTTCCAATATTTCATAATTTCAAAATTAAAAATATGCATTTTTTAAAAAGCACTAAGACCAGATTGTACCACGTTAATTTACCCTTAGACTATGAAAGAAAGGGGACCGATAATATCCTATCAAGGGCAATGCTGCGCGTTGAAGCCTGGGGCGGCCATATTTTCGGAGCCAAAATTTGTTTAATTTTTCATTTTCGTGATTATGCGATCCTTAAATGTGCGATTAATAGTATTTTACATTATTAGCCAAGTAAGTGAGTTTTTACTGGCGATAGGAGAAGTTGACTGGCGAGCCGTTAGGCGAGCCTGTCATCTCCTAGAGCCAGTAAAAACTATTACCTGGCGTATAATGTACAATATTTTATTTGTTACTCATTTGCAAACAATAGTAAACGTAAATAATTAGTTCTTAAATTGATCTTGAAGAAATGTCTAAAATATCATGTTATCCATGTAACAGAGACTTCGCATTAATTCTGGCCAATGAAATTACTAGATTACTAACTTGTAAAATTTTTACAGGTCTGCTGTCAGTTTTACAAGTCTGCTGTCAGTTTTACAAGTCAGTAGCGTTTAAACCATAGATAATTAACATGACGTTTATCCGTTTGCGTTTTGTCTTGTTAATCAACGTTTACAACTGAGTAACAAATAAAAACATTATTGGACAATGGTACATTGTAGTGCACGGAAGTAATAGCCAAAAAACACACGAAAGTATTTCGCTTCACAGGTAAAAATTTGAGGTTAGTTTTCGGTGAAATAACAAACAAATGTGGGCTTACTTCACGCTTCACTTTACGATCATTATTATCACTCCTCACTCTTTCCTTCTCTAAGAATTTAACCCACGGAGCTCAACTGGAGCAACTAAACCACTATGAAATAAAGGGGACTGATAATATCCTATCAAGGGTAATACTGCGCGTTGAAGTCTGCGGCGGCCATACTTTCGGAGCCTAAGTTTGTTTACTTTTTTTGTAGTGCTCGGAAGTGATGACCAAAAACACACGAAGGAAGGAATAGGTTAGTTTTCGGTGAAACAACCACAGAGTTGTATATAAGTAAATAGAGAGACAGTCTTGTAGCGAAAAATTGACTCCAATTGAACCTTGCGCAGGCCGTTGGTGAGTGTGCGCAGTAATCGACAACAGAACCGGCTTCAAATTAAATGATCCTTAAAGCAGGTTCGGCTTGAGAATAATATGGTGTCTCATTGCAACAAAAATTGAAAAGAAATTCAATGTGTGGTGAATGATGTTGTTAACACTGTGTCTTGAATAAATAAGAAACATTACAATCGTTAAGAACTTTTAATACAGTAGACTACAATACAAAGCTGGTAAGGGGCTTACAACATCAGAATCGAGAGTTGAGATTCTGGTATAAAGGAAATCGTATATTTGTCGTGCGATCGAGTTTAAAGATCTATTTATGCTCAGTGAGTATAAAAATAAGCAATGAAAGAATAAAATAAGTTGAAATTTTATTTTGGTGCGGGACAAAATTTCAGGTGTGCAATGCCGAAAACACAGTTTGAATACGGGTAGCCACAAAGTCGACAAACCTCAAATGCCAATAACTCAAATATCTCAAAAATGGAGCATCGGCAGAAGGTATGTACAGTGGCACCACGCTCAGAAGGTTCCTGACAGGGCGTGTCCGAGGACGTTGGAAATTTAGACTGTACATTCTCATGCAATATTTGACTCTACTAAATATAAATAAGTGGGCCACGCGATATGAGTTGCATTACTTCAAGGGGAAACAGTAAAATTAATAATTTTATTTCTACAAAACGTAAACACATTTAAGATTGTTAGATGTTCATGTTCAACACAATTTACAATTCTGATGCACTTCTGCTGTGTAAATATGGACAGTTATTGAAACAATCACATTGAAATTAATAACACTCACATTGACTAAATTAACACACAACCTTTAACTTTTTTCATTCATTATCGTCACTTGACCACTAATCATCATTGGAACTGCCGGTGTTCACAATAAATTGTACATTGTCAATAAATTCATTTCTCGTAGGAATGTTATTTGCTTCTAACCAAGAACGTATCACTTCCTTACGATTATTCATTGTTGGTGGCTTATTTATTTGAACACTGATAAGGTGCGTGAGTTTGCTGGTAAATTTGGTATAAGCTGCTTCTCTAACCAGTAACCACTGCATAAAGTTGGTATGATTCATATCATCGTAATAATCCCCCGATTTACTGTGCGACATCCTCTACAAAACCAGAACAACTACCAGCATACTACGATGTACCTCTGACCAGCCCTATTATAAACTTCCGATACTTCATCTGATTGTTAGCATTTACTCACTTCGTACGATGGGTGAATATAGGTTTCGTCCAAGTATATAACGGGTTAATTGTCACATTCAGGTTGTTCATTTTCTTTTAATCTTCTTAAATAACGAGATGCCATACTACAATGTCACTTCTTTCCATTACCAACCTACGTTTGTCCCGACACTTCTTGTATCGAAAACCAAGTTTCAACAATTGCTTGCGAAGAGTTTTCCTTCCACCCATATATTTGATCTTTTCTTGCACTTTTCTAGGAGCATTTTAAAATAACCTTTATTTATGTACAGATCGTCGCCTACTAAACATTGAAATGGCGGTAAAGAGTATAATGTAATGGGCATGCTTAAATTATTACTCCAAAGCGTCTGTTTATTTACAAATGAATCTGAAGCATCTGAAAAGTTATTGCTGTTTTGTTTTGTGATTATGTAACTGAATGCACCCAAAAATTGTGCTGATTCCCTTTCACGCACTGCGCATGAGTCCCAACGGCTCCGCCATTAAAAGTTGGCCACTGTAGTTGGAGTTATTTTTCCACGCGCAGGTCGTATGTACTGCCCTCTATTTACTTATATACAACTCCTCTATTTACTTATATACAACTCTGTGGAAACAACAAACTAATTTGGGCTTCGCACTTTACGATCATTATTATTACTCCTCACTCTGTCCTTCTCTAATGGCTGAATTTAAGCAGAGCTTAGCTTAAGCGTAGCTTAAAATCCATGGCAACGATTATTGAGATAATGGTTGCCATGGATTTTAAGCTATGCTTAAGCTAAGTTCTGCCTAAATTTGTCGGTGCAAACGGCCATAAGAACTAAACTAAGAAAATTGATTAATTTTCATTTACAATAATTTATAAAGAAGAAATATGATCGTTTTACGGTAGAAGTTATTGCACACATACTATAACGTCAAACCTTAATTAAATACTGCCTTACTATAATAAGGAACTACCTTATTTTTGACAGCACAAATTGAGTTATTGCATGTGACAGTTTACAAGCAGTTAACACTCAACGTATTTATTTATTTCTAACCTCAAATTATTTAAATTTTTTATGATTGAGTATTTATTTATTTTCTGTGGATGCAATGGAAGAAGTTTTGGAAGCTCTTATTCTGGGTGACGCTGCAGATGATGATTATGAGTATGTCATTATGGATAATATTTTCGTTAATCGCGAAGAAGTCAACCAAGGGCCCCCTTTCGATTTTAATACCTTAACTGAGGCAGAGGTGTTGCTAAACTTTCGGTTTTCAAGAGCAGATCTTCCAAGATTATTTCATGTAAATTTTAAAGGTTATGATACTACTCAGCTGATGCTTTAAGGGAAAATAAGGTTACCTTAAATCCTTACCGTATTGGGACGTAAATAAGGGAAGGCAGTATTTTAATAAAGTTCCCTTAATTAAAAAATTTGTCTGCGCACGCGTAGATGTCAAAATAAGGTCAGCGTTAATAAGGGAACTGCGTCGTAACGTTTGCAATAACTCCCTAATAATAATGTGTTTGGAATTTCGATATCTCTTCAAGTCTGACTGAAATACTTTTTACTAACATACCTCTACGGTTATGCAACTCACCGCACATGAAAAAGAACAGCAATATCGAAAATATACGAAACGCTCTGTATATACAGCAATCGTTCTGCGTGAACAACAAGCGCACGTCGAAATAAGGTTAGCGCCTTTTTAGCATATTTATATGCTTATTGCTTTTTAGCACCACGTTGAGCTTGAGTAATGGCGGATCTAGCCATCTGGTGAAAATTCAAGGTGCCAAACCGAATTTGTGACGAAACCTTAAAATTTAAATGAGAATTAGATTTGAATAATATACGGTACTTTATTGCTTAGAGAAGGAAAGAGTGCTTTATTGAAGGTTGTACAAATAATGTCTCTTCGCTCGCAAAACGGGCTTCTAATCGCAACCTGCAGGTAGCACAAAATAAAGTGGCGGGGAAAATACAAAATTTTCACCATTTTCCGGCCGCCTTGAACTTAAAAAAATTAAAGCATAACATGAAAAACATAATCAACATTCATGTACAGTAATAGAAAATATTGTCTCAAAAAACAATAAAAATTAATCTTCACTTTGCTGGATTCGCAATTCGACACAATAAGTAAATTGTTTAAAATGTCTGTCAAACACATATTAAATTAACTATAAGGTTTCTTAGTCCATGGCATTGAATTTGATAGATATAAATTCAATGTCCATGGGCAGCACGCACAGCTGATGTATTTGCGCGTTTCACACAGTTTCCTCCTGGTAATCTTTAAGCCGGCCATACACGGTCCAACGCCGTCGTACGATCTTGTCGAATTCGACTAAGTTGTACGATTTTTGATTGTGTATGGGCACATCCGACTAAGTTGGTTGGATGAGAATGAATATCAAACTTGTCTGAGTGCTGCAGTACAATCGAGTTGTATGCGACGCAGTTGGACGAAATTGGATCGTGTATGCGCGCTTACAATCAAGTCGGTCCGACAGAATCCGTGTACACAGCGAAATTAAAAACCTTTATTATTATCATATTGTGTTAATCTGTTGAGTACAGTGTGAACGATCTTTTAAAAAAAATCACATCCAACTCTATCGTACGACGTTGTTGGATCGTGTATGGTTGTATTCAATTTTCACGATTTTCGTACGACAATTCCATCCGACATTGTTGTACAACGGCGTTGGACCGTGTATGGCCGGCTTTACAAGGACTCCACTATATTGGCGCTGCCTCTCCAACGACGACGCTTATTTTGTCATACTTCTTCACTGTCGCGAATTTCAATCTTATTTTCTCTTGATCCTGTTCCCACCGGAATTATTTAAACATATTATTGAATCAGTGTTTGCTCAAACATTACTTCTAGTCAATGGTGTCCCTCAAGGAAGTAGGTATACCGAGTCCATTACTCTTTCTGTACGTTACATCAATGACTTACCTGACGAATACTGCTACCTACTGTATGCCGATAACATCACCATCTTGATAATGAAATTAAACGTCAAGATATACCTACCCTAATTTAAAACTCTGTTTTAAGTCTGCAATTGATGGTGGTGTAATAGGAGCGACCTACGCATCAACATTATACAAAACTGAGATCTAGAATGTTATGTTTTTTGGTACATGCTTGGGTCCCAAATTAAATTTGAAGAGCTATATTGACTACCTTACCTTCAAGCTGAGTCGTAACATATTTGGCTGACGGAAATGATACAGTTATGTCGTATGGTACTCTTACATGCGCTTTTAACCACAGATGCTTCTAGTAAAGACGAGCATATCAAACATTATAAAAATCAGATGTGCGCCCGCGCAATATCAACTGTCTTATTTGTACAGATATTTTATGGAAATTTTAACCAAAGATACTTCTAATCAAGACAAACATATCGCATATTTTAAACATCAGGTGTACGCATGCGCGGACTGTGACATGCTAAGTTTCCTATTTATAAGAATATTTATGCCGTAACTTACTCGCCTTAAAACTTAACCTTAACGCGTTCTTCTAAATAACTGGAAAATGGGTCACTTATTGTTGACTAGAAACTATAAACAGGATTTCAAACTTAATAATGTTCAAATAAAGACTGTCAATCTGGTAATTTATTTGTGAGATATTTTACATTTTAAGTAAGTATATTGAAATACATAGTTATTTTTTGGGCGATTTTCGTTTCTCTTGAAGAGTACTGACAATGTTTGGAATATTCTTTAGTAATTCATCAGCCTCCTGAGTAAAATTACCTTCCGCCCAGAGATTTCTCAACTCATTCAAAACCAAACCCATAAAACGACCGCTCTCAACTCCGTGCTCCTTCAGCATATTTCCAGTGATGGGAAACTTAGGCAGTTGCCATTTTTGAAACTCTTCCAAGTAAGGCGAATCATTATACTTCAGTAACTCGACAATCCACTCATGAACATGCGATACTTTGCTTTTACTTTTCACCAAAAGTTGCTGATACGGGAATAAAGGATTGGAATGAATTTTGGGCTGCCTATGTTCTACAATGAACAGTGCTAGATCTCGCTCGTATGTTGACAATTTCAATCGTGCGTTCAAAGACAATACTTCCTCCTGAGTTTTTAATAATGATGATAATAGGGTTATGGCATGTAGTTTCTTGGTTCCACTCCTGCGCCACACATTTTGTAACTGTTCTACATCATGATTATTTGGCAAACCTGCAAAATAGATAATATGAAGCTCTTTATCATTTTTACAAAAGTCACACTAAATTTTTAAATGACCATTTTATAGATATAATTGAGGAACCCTAACAAGTCAGATTAATGGCCGTTTGCAGCGACAAACTTCAGTTGAGCTTAGCTTAAGGCGAGACGCACGTTGAGACATATGCGGTGCACGCCCACGACCACAGGTAGACCACACACGCCTGATGTTCACTACAAAATCTAGGATGGCGCTACAAAAACTACAAATATGATTGTTATAGTACTGCAGTGTAATAAAAATGTGACACTTGTATAATTGAAAATGTCATTTAGCGATCTTCCATCGTTATCGAATTTAATACAGCATCCGATTTGGAAAGGTTCATGTAGTGAACCAACTCTCAATGGAAAAAAAGAAAAGTTGTCAACTGATCCCAGATTAAAAAATTGGCACGAATGGATGAAGAAACGAAAGAAAATGCACCTTCGCTTGGCAAATCTAATAAAACGTGACCCAGGTAATTTGCTAATGAATACCGCAGAAGAAGTACGGCAAATAAAAGAACAGAAGACCGCGTTTGAGTACAGTAGGTCATTGCAAGATCAAGATTGTGAAGTGCCGAGTATTGAGAGTATCGGTGTGCCTGAAGAGATTATGGTCGAAAAAGATGTTATGCCAAGAGAAAGGTATATTCATGGTCTTTTGAATGTTGTTACGATTTTGTTTAATTTAGAAATCAGTACACAACTTGGAAAGAGTCTGCGTGGTACAAAAAAAAGTGTGAAGAATACAAAGTTGCTTTAAGCATAATACAACCACACAAGCCTGATTTTAACATGCTACAAATTCGAGGATGTGGATTTTTACAAACCCAAAACCAAACTCAAGAGCTTCCCAATGAAGAAAAAGAGGAAAATTTGCCAAACGTTCTACACAGCTCTGGCACGAAATTAAATCTCAGACTGGCAATAAACGACTTTGTTATGACTAGAGATTCAAATCAATCCACAAGGAAAGTATATTTAATGTATGATTACGATGTATCAAAATCAGGAGTGGAAACTCGATACGTAACTTTAAAAAATTTAGGTAACGCAACTATTCACTATTATTGGAAATCTGCCGAAATTTTGCAGTACTTTAAGGATTTAGTAACACCAAAACAGCATAACACAGCATTTTGCTTCAATAAAAAGGAAGGATTGGTTATTCCCGGCCAAACTCGCAATATACCAATTTGGTTTGAAACCAACAGTGCTGGAGTATACGTAGAGCATTGGGAGTTTCACACGAGACCGCGCATTTTACCAGAAAACGCGAAGGTAGTAATCGTGTTACACGCCACTGCCGAATTCGCTAATTTAGAGGAGGAAAAAGAGAAACTTAAGAAAGAAATTGAGAACAGTATTAGAAATAGATTAATTAAAGATACTCTTTCGTCGGTTTTTTCCAATGTCCAGTATAATAAACGCAAGCCGACAATTTATGCGTACAATAAAAAGGAAGTATTCGAAGCGATGAGTGGAAAATACGACCCCGTTAATTTGCAGCCTAAATATCAGTACAATAAGGAAGTTGTGAGAGAACTTCAACGATTTTATAAAACAGTTAGACGTAAGACTGATCCGAAGTCATGGAATTACAACATACACGAGCTGAGAATTCTTACGGACGCCACGCAAAGGCGTAATGAAGAGAATATGCAAAGGTAATTTTCGAGAGGTTTTAATTTTGATATTTAGAAATTGAAATTATAAAGGCTCTCCGGTGTGAGTTGTTTCTTCAATTCTTCAATACGTAAGACAACTTGCATCTTATTCTTACCAGACCACATATGCTGTACAATCTAACCAGTAACCAGCAATGCAATGAAAGATAGATCGGCAAAGATTGTACTTTTTTTGCGTTTTTTAGTGCTGGTGCTATTGTTTTGCGTGTTCTCCGTCGGTCAGGAACCACTTTTGCTGTGTTGAACTACTTTTACGGGAATGGTCCTAAACTTTTACATGCGACAACCAATAGAGTCTATTAGTGTTTACGTCAAAAGGAATCGAATAGCCCGCGAAGGAAGTTGCAGAACTCAACGATTTTATAAAACAGTTAGACGTAAGACTGATCCGAAGTCATGGAATTACAACATACACGAGCCTATCCATTAAGGATAACTTTGAAATAGGTCCTCTTTACGGGCTTATACCGAAACACTGATTACTTAACTTTAAAACAGAGCAATAATCGTTAAATAAAATCCATTAATTGCATTATAATTAAAAATTAAAGATATATCTACCATATTTACACTTTACGGTTGGCAATATGGAATGATCATAACCATGTTCTTATGTTTACATTTTCCCAATTGCTAGACTTGGTCGTTATCTTGCCTTTAAAGTTAAGTAATCAGTGTTTCAATATAAGAGGGCCGATATGCTTATTTAATCCGCATAAGGTCAGGATAAGCCCGTAAAGAGGACCCATTTAAAAGTGATACTTAATGTATGGGGCGATAGGAGTCAATATCTTCGACAGTAAAACAGCCAAGACCAGCGTTTCGAATTTCCCGCTCAAATTTGACGTCACACTAATAGAGTCTAATACCATTTTACATGCGCATGCCTTTAGTGGCAAGTAAAACTTTTGAAAATGGGAAAGGCGAGGGGGGGGACCACACGTTTTACCCATTCATGGTATTCTAATTAAAGGTCTCAACAAAAGGAACTGTTTTCTACGAACTATCGCTCTTTTTTCTGACACTGAAAAAATTAGAAATTACTACAAACGAATTTTTGGATTTTTAAGAAATCTTTTTTGAACATTTTTGAATCGATATTGAATTTTTTCGGTGTTATATTTAAAAAACAGAATTTAATATGCTATTTTTAGATTGAAATATACAGGGTATGCCATTTAAATAAAATTAAGTTAGATCCAATAACTTTTTTACCCGATAGTACTGATAATTATTTATTTTGAAATCGGCAGATTATTTATCAATAATTTTCAAGAAACATTTTTTTGTTTCTGTTTTTACTAAGAATGTATACGGTCATTCTGATTTTGAAAATTGTTTGATTTATCTCCGTATCTCTGAAACAAAAATGTGCAAATTTTGATTTTACCATTGCAAGTTTTACCCAAAAAGAGCCCATAACGCCTATAAAAGTGTCGAAAATGGGACACCCTGTATATGAAACACTATGTAAAATTCCAAAAGGAAAATGTATTTTCATTTTAAAAAAAGTTGTTGATTTTAACTTATTTTTGAGCATGTGCTCTTTTTAGTGCCGATTCTACATTGAAGGTATATACCGAGAATAAGATATACCTAGAATAAATGTCGACGGTTGTGTTGGTTACCATTGTGTCAACCAATGGCATACATGTTGCTATGGTAGTTGTAGCGTTGTCGCTTACCTTGTTTACCCCGCGCGCGCGTCACTCGAAGTCCCCTCGTCGTGGCTCTTCTCGAGCTGTCTCTCATTTGCTCCTGCGCACGGTCACACCGTATACCACATCCCCCCTTCTGTAGGGTGTTCGGACCGGACGTCATGTTCCCGGCTTGTCTAACACTAATACTAAACATGCACATGCTTATGTTCGACAGTCACACTTATTATTTACAATACACTTGATTTAAATACACGCACACACTTTTGGTCCTTTTAACTATACGTACACAATGAGTAGTATTTTTGGGGAAAATATCGCAGCGGCCTTTAGTGATTGCACCCGCTGGTGCAGTTGCATATATTTCGCGGCGGTTTAACTAGGCGCCCTGAACGAGTTACATATTGGTGGTGCGCGTTTGACTTTTCTTGATGTGCCCTGGTATTGGCCTCTATTTTCCCTCCTACTGCGGTCGCGTTTTCTGTAGGACTTGGTGCGGTGGCCTCATTTTCCTTCTGCCTCGCGCTCTCTTCCGTTTCCGCAACGATTGTGCGTTGCTGGTCTCTTCCGTTTTCTTCAGCTTGGCTTCCTTCTCCAGCTTCTGTTTCGACAATGGTTGCGTTCTCTCGACCTCTGTTGTCATCTTTCAACTCCTTCCCCTCTTCCCGTGATATTTGTTGGGAGTCTTCTGGTAGATCTATATCTAGGTCTTCTTGTTGCTGAGTTGGTATGTTCGTGACTCTTATGAGGTGTGATCTATTTCTCCTGTAGACATTATTGTCTGCTTTTATTATGTACGTTCTGGGTTCCGGTCCCTTGTTCACGACTACGCCATATTTCTTTGCGTTCGTAATCCATACTTGTTCGCCGATCCCAAGTGGGGAGACTGACCGCGCTCTGTGGCGAATTTTGAAATCTGCCGCGTATTTTGCTTTTTCCACCTCTCTTTTGCGTTTAAATGATTGCAGGTATGACCATGTCGGTATGTACAGGCTTTTATTTGCTGGTACGTTGGACCTTGGTGTTCTGCCCATTATAAGCTCTGATGGTGACAATCCGCAGCTTAGTTTCGCTGTGCGGTAGCTCAGCAATCCTAGATTTGGGTCTTCGCATTTCGTTAAAATTTTCTTGGCTATTTTGACGGCTGCTTCTGCTTGACCGTTTGATTGGGGGTATAGCGGACTGCTGGTGATGTGCTGAAATCCATATTTCTCAGCAAAGTCTTTAAATTTGTTACCCCGGAAGCATGGTCCGTTATCGGTTCTTAGAATTTCCGGAATTCCCCATCTTGCCATGAAAGTTCTTAGTTTTGCTATGGCTTCTTCCGCTGTCTCGGATTTCATGTTGGCTACTTCCAGGTATCTTGACCAATAGTCCACTGCGACTATGTAAGTTCTTCCCGCTACTTTACACAAGTCCGCCCCGATCATCTGCCACGGATATTCTGGTGTCTCAGACGGTTTTAATTTTTCGGTTGGTGGAGTCCTGTGCTCAATGCAAATATTGCAGTTGCTTATCTTGTCTTCAATGTGAGAGTTTATTCCAGGCCACCAAACCGTCTCCTTTGCTCGACTTTTGCATTTCGTTATGCCCAGGTGTCCTACGTGTATTTGGTCGAGGATTTCTGACCTGTAGTCTCTCGGTATGAACACTCTGTTGACTCGCATTAGTAGATCGTTCAGTATCGCCATTTGACCTTCAAACTGGTGAAATGATCGGTCTTCTGGGGTCATACGTTTTTTAGTGGGCCAGCCTTTGACGATGTATTCCCTCACTCTTTTCGTTTGTGGATCGGAGACTTGTGCTTCGCGAATCCTTTGTAGACGAGCGTCGGAAAATGGTAAAGTTTCTCCTATGTGTTGCGCAAACGCTTCGACTTCATCGATTAAAAGCGCGTCGCTGCCGGGATCGGTCGATTCTATCGGCGCTCTAGAAAGCATATCGGCAATGATCATTTTCTTTCCAGGAATGTATTCGACGTTATAAGAGTATTGCATGAGGTGCATTCTAAACCTTTGTAGCCGTGCAGACAAATCCGATAGTGGTTTTGTTCCCAACAGTTGGACCAACGGCTTGTGGTCTGTGCGCAGACTAAAATGTTTGCCTGGCAAGTACATTTGAAATTTCTCACAGGCCCATGTAGCCGCTAGTGCCTCTCTCTCTATCTGTGCGTATCTGGATTCCGTTTCGGACATTTTTCGTGACGCATAGGAGATGGGTTTCCAAGTGCCACCTTTTGCTCTTGTTCCAGTACGGCTCCAAGACCGAATGACGATGCGTCGGCTGCTACTCTTGTGTTCCTGTTAGGAGAAAAGTGAGATAATACCGGTGCTGAAGTTAATGCGATTTTTTGGGTTTTGACGTGTCGATCGATCCCATAAAAAAATTGTCTTCCTCATCTGGTGCCGTTTCTACGCTCGCAATCTTTGGGTTTTGTCTATTGTTTACTTTAGATAAGCATCTAGTGGACCAATGTCCTATTTTGCCGCATTTTTTACAAGTGTCGTTTCTCGAAGGGCACGACGCGTGGCGAGGAATGAGGCCGCATTTTCTGGAGCTGGTGCGCTTGCCCGAATTACGGCTTGTTGTTTACGGAGTGATTCTGCCAACCTAACGCGTTTGATTACCTCGTCTACGTTGTCATCTGGCCTTGTTTGCAATTGGATCGACAACCGACTATCTGCCAAACCCGCGATAATTCGCAATTTGATCATCTCCCCTTCTAATTGAGCCCACTCGCACGTTTGGGCCATAGCGGTTAGATCGCTTATAAATATATCGCAGGGTTCATCAGAACCTTGCACCCTTTGAAGAAATTTGACCCTTTCGTAGACTAAATTTTTCCTTTCGCCGAAATATGCGTCGAATCTTTCTAAAACGATAGCGAAGTTTTTTTGATCTTCCGTCGAAAGGTGAAATGACTTTAGAATTTTCTCCGCTTTAGTACCCAGATGCCCGATGAAATAATCGACCGTTTGCTCACTGGAGCAGCTGACTAACATGGTGCGTTTGTAGCGATAGAAGCTGCATTTCCATTCAGCCCATTCTTCCGCTTTATAAGAAAAAGTCGGTGGGGGCGGGACCGATGGATTAGGTACAGCTACCGTTGCCGCGTTATTCGTTGTCGCGGCAGATAACGTCATTTGTTGCCGCTGTAGTTCCAGTAGCTGCGTAAGTATTTGTTGTTGACGTGCAAAATGTTCTGCATTAATGTCCTTATGCGAGGGGTCATTGTGTGTAGCGTTATCGTTCGTCATTTTGTTATGATTAGATTGGGCGTATTATAAAACTTTTGCCGTATAAATGCCGATTGTTGCGAGAAAATGAAAAGAGGTTTTTTTTTTTTTTTTTTTTTATTAAGGCTTTGGGGATCTTGCCCATTTTAGCCTACATTAGAGAAACCAGAGGACTAAACAAGGATTTATACGTTTCACGCTTTGGGGCCGATCAAAGCGACTTCACACAAAACATTTATTACTTACAGTTTCACCACATATTCCTTGCGTATTTACACTCACTTTGTTTTATAATCGCTATCGTTTCGCTTTTGTTTCGCGTGTGTAAGTTCGTCACCGATTAAAAAAAACGCACTAGTTTTTGTATCGCGTGTACGTACCTTTACCGATACCGAAACAAAAAACCAATCTCACCGTTGTCACCATGTAGCGTTGTCGCTTACCTTGTT